ATGTATACTCAGAAAATAAAGAAACGCAAAAGTAATAAAATCTTAAATACCTGACAGAGCGTGGCCGACATCAATACAAAAATGAATTGGTCATTTCTGCATGGATTGGGATTAATTTGTGTGGAAAGAATGAGTTACTGCGGAAATGTGGTGAAAAGATGGAAAAATCGCAAAAACACAACCACGGGGGAGCCTGGCGCCGAGACACAACATGGCATGCACGTGCAACATCACTTGTTGGGCTATAAAAACGTTGGGTTTTCATTTGCATGCCATCAAAATCTTACAGCAGGTGCACAGCGAAAACATGCCACGACCGACGGAAACCCAACGCAACAACGTCATCGGCCGACTGCAAACAGGAGAATCATCTCCAGCTCTAGCCAGATTTTTCCACGTAGCACAAAACTTGGAACCGTCATCAGACACAAGGGACAACACCTGACCTTCCCACATCCGGTCGGCCAGTTATAACTACTAGAGCACAGGGCAGATTTATACGGCTATGTCACTTACGTAAAAGAAGCACCGCGGTCACCTCTACAACTACGACAATGCCAGGATTGCGTAGGATATCAGCCCAGACAGTGAGTGAGTGAATGAGTGAAGTTTTATGCCGCGTTTAGCACTATTCCAACAATATCACGGCGGAAGACACCCGAAATGGGCTTCACACAGTGCATCCATGTGGGAATCGAACACGGGTATTTGGCGTGAGTAAAGCACGCTTTAACCACTAGGCTACCCCACTGCCCCTCACAGAGAGTGAGGAACCGTTTACGCGCTAAAGGTATTCACGCTAGACGACCGGTTCTAGGTGTCATTTTGACGGACCTGCATCGTCGGCTCCGATGTCAGTGGTCTTAAGGTCACAGAGTATGGGCACAAGTTCTGGGGAATTTAACGGAACAACATTACACTTATGAGATTCTTCGGACAGACGTCCTTTCCATTATGCAGCAAGCGAACGTCATTTTCCAACAAGACAACGCCGATCTCACACGGCAAGACTGACAACAGCCTTTTTTGCAGGAATCACAACATCCCGGTCCTGCCATGGCTCGCAGGGTCTCCAGATTTAAACCCGATCGAACATTTATGGGATGTACTGAATCAACGACTGCGAGCACGTCAGCAACAACCACAGAACCTCCGACAGTTGGCAAAAGAACTGCAGGCAGAGTGGGTGAACATTCCCCAGGCCACAATTCGGGATCTGATTGCCTCCTGGATGCCAGTTAGTTTTGGACTCTAATGGTGGCCATACAAGATATTGAGAACAGATGACCTTCACCTTAAACATATACTGTTCCATGTGAGCCATATGGAAACTTGGTCAGTGACAATTATGTGTTGAACAATTTTGAACAATTGAATACCAACTGTTGATTATTTATATGATATATAAATATCTAAATTCACTTTTGCTGTTTTTTTTGTGGTAGCGTGCGTGCATGCGTGTGTGGATGGATGGATGATTATTACAACAGCTAAGGTATTGATGAAGACAACGATGATAATGATGACGTCGACGATGCTGATGCCAATGATAATCAAGACGGCAATGATAATGACGACTGTGTTAATGATGACGATTATGGTGGTGATGATGACGACGATAGCGATGCTGATGATTACTATGATGATTATGATGATGATGATGCTGGTGACCTCTAGGGGGATGACGATTGTTATGATGACGACGATGCTGGTGACCTCTAGGGTGATGACGATTGTTATGATGACGACTATGATGATGATGACGATGCTGATGACCTCTAGGGTGATGATGATTGTTATGATGACGACTATGATGATGATATTGATGATCATTATGTCTTCAGTTGTTTATTGTTAATCCCAACCTCCTTTCTCCAGAATAGTTTTTTGCAAATCAATCTATTATCAGTTTTATCACATTTAAAGAGGACCCGTTACCTCCTCGGTCGTCGAAAGGGAGATTACTAGACGAACTGTTTATTTACTTTCTGTATATTGATTATGGAGGATTATTCTGGACAGTTATTTTCTTACTGTAAGCAATTTCGGTCATGTTGATGTTTATAAGCTTGGGTATTTTTTACCTTTATGCCTATAATAAGATGTTGATGTCTATATAGGGTTATCGATATTGTCATAATGTCCAAGCTAATTATTTCTATAAACAACCACGCCTAATCTCCATCTCTAGGGATTACCAATGGTGTTTGCTTGTTTACAGGATAAACAAATACTTCACTCGTCACGATCTTACTATAAATATGTAATGGTTAAATACCTTCCTCTACAATTAATATTGGCCAGTATCATCCTGACGCTTTGATAAATTAGAAAAAGTTGAAGGGTTTGTTTTTGTAATGTGCAGTGGCCATGTTTGCCTTGACAGAAAGCCTCGCGCCCACGTTCTTCCTAACCTAATTAGGAAACAAACAACTACCATGTATCTAAGTTTGACAGTCCATGTGTCGTCCAGTTTAAGTTGTGAGTAAGACGAGGCGAGGTGAAATTGGGTTTAACGTCGCGTCCAAAATTATTGCACTTATAAAGCGACGTGCGTGTGTGTGTGTGTGTGTGTGTGTGTGTGTGTGTGTGTGTGTGTGTGTGTGTGTGTGTGTGATACCATGCCGCAGTTTAACATAAATACCCCACTCAGACACAGTATACTGACTCTAAGCCGACCAGTCCTAGTTTTAGCCCTAAATGCCGAGCGCCAGACAGGGTAACAACAAGTACCATCTTTTAACGTCTTTTGGTATGACGCGACCGGGGATTAAACCCCGGACCTTCCGCTCTCCGAGCGGACGCTCTACCACTAGAGTGCATGAGTTCGGTTTTTCCCCTTATTGAACATTATAACAGTTTTGCTGACAGACCATGCATCATTATCAGGCGATTCCGACAACTGACAAAGGGGCGCAACTCTGTATAGCGAATTGTGGCGCCTCAGATGACTGGGCAACACGTGCCATTCGTTAGTGTGTGAGTGAGTGAGTTGGGTTTAACACCGCTTTATAAAAGTATTTCAGTTATATCCCGGCGTGTCAGCTTAATGTGGGAGGAAGCCCGAAGTGATGCAGGTCTCGGACGTTTACCACTTCGGTAAAACCCACGAGCACGGGTATGGTGCTAACATACCTAGAAACATAATCGGGGCGAGCCGGGATTCGAACCCAGCCACTCGTTAATGTTTAATACCCATGGAATGACTTTCTCTGAGTTAAGTCCTTAAGGCATGCCAGAAACCTATCATCGTGGTTCGAATCCCAGAGCGCCCTGAGTTTCAAGGTTTGTTAGCACCAGTGTTCGTTGGCTTCTCCAAAGAGGTATTTGTTTATACGTTAAAAACGTCTAACGTGCATCACTTTTGGCTTTCCTCCCACATTACGTTCACAAGCCGTGATATAACTGAAATACTGTTCAAAGCGCCGTTAAAGCCAACTCACTCACTATTCCGTGACAAATCGAATGTCTACCTTATTGTTGAGTACAGAAAGTATGGACGATTGAAACTGAGGTTATATCACAGCGTGTCAGCTTAATGTGAGAGGAAAGCCCCAAATGATGCAGGCCTCAGACGTTTACCACTCCGGTGAAACCCACGAGCACGGGTATGGTGCTGACACACCTAGAAACATAATCGGGGCGAACCGGGATTCGAACCCACAATCATAGGTTTCTGGCGTGCCAAAGGAACGCAACTCTGCACAGCGAATCGCGGCGCCTTAAACGACTGGGCCCCCCGTGCCCCCCGGCGGCTTCGAAGTATTAAGTCTTGAGACAGTGAAATCAACGAGGGTAACCAATGCAAAACATATTCAGCGCCATCCCATTCAAATTCTGTCAATTGAACCTGGGGTAATAATTCTAAGACGCCGTAAATAGCTAAATGGGATTTAACGTCGCGTTCACGATTATTGCATTTATATAGGGACGTGCATGCACGCGTGCATGTGTGTGGCTGCTTGTACTATTCCGGGCTAATGCCGATTTCATAGTGCTATCCCACTGAAATACCATGCTGTAGTTTAACATGAATACCCCACTCAGACACAGTATACAGACTCCGAGCCGATTAGACCTTGTTTTAGCCTTTTAATGCCGAGAGGGGCTGTCGGGTAGCCTAGTGGTTAAAGCGTTTGCTCATCACGCAGAAGACCCGGGTTCGATTCCCGACATGGGTACATTGTGTGCTCATTTCCCCGACCGTGATATTGCTGGAACATTGCTAAAAGCGGCGTAAAAACCATACTCACTTATTCACACTCACTTAATGCCGAGCGCCAGGCAGGGTAACAATTACCATCTTTTAACGTCTTTTGTTATTAGTATGACACGGCCGGGGATCGAACCCATGACCTTCCGCTCTCCTGGCAGACACTCAATCCACTAGACCACGAAGGCGGCCCGATACTAAATAAAGGATGTCTGGTTTCTTAAGCCAATCAGATGGCAGTTTTCTCAAACGACTCGGCTTCATTTCAATACCACAACCTTTTGGAAATTTCGATCTTATCAAAAGTAAACCTCCACAGAACACACATATATCCTCATCAGTATATCCTCTTGGATGTACATGCAAGGGTGCATAAAATATCCACAATGAGTTTCAATATACAGCGGTTTTATTCTTTTGCATTCAGAACTCCCTATTATATTCGTTTTTGAGATGCAAAAATCTATGTGCTTGTCTGAAAGCTCCGCCCACCCTTACTGAGAATTATGAAATATCAACGCTGATATGTTGATTAGAGAATTCACCTGAGCTACCCCCATGACGTGAATCAAGGGGGTAAATGTCTAGCATCTGCGTCACTTTGGGTTTTCTTTTCACGAAACGGTTGTCGTGATCTTACTACTCAAAGCGGCGTTAAACCCACTCACTCACCCTGGAATCTACATTGAAGCAGGTGAAGACAGAATGCAGCTACAGCTTACATTGACACAATCAAAGAATCAAAATACATGATTCAATCATAGCCAGACAAACATCGACATGAATGACAACTGTTTAATCACTCGTGACAACAACAGAGTACATAAATATAATCTTCTTGTGTATTCATTATGACAACATATCAGGAACAGTGTAAACATTACATTCTTTACTTATGTAATTGCAATTATTCACTACTAATCAAATCCAATTTCCCTACGAAATGGTAACTATCTACACTGTATCAAGTGCTTGCTGTCAAGATTCCATCTTCTTGCATTTTAGTTCTGAAAAATAAGCGCAAACATGTACTTTGAACTTTCAGCACACTGTACATAGAAATACGACCATACAAAAGTTGGGAAACAAAAGCTGATGTAATCTTGTTCCAAATAATCCACGTAACTTCTCGCTTAAATATGTCCTGTACGTTTGATTCTCGTGTAAAATTTTCTAATACATTTAAATAATCAATGACGACTAAATGGGGTTTGTACAAAAACAATAAGCACTAACCTCAAACACAGATCAAGCTATTCTCTCAGCCTCGTCTAGTAGCTTATCGAGGTCAGACATGAATTCTCTTCTCATTGGTTCTGCAATAAAGATAGGGCGGAACATGAAGTAAGATAATAGCATAGGGCGAAATGATCAGGATGCTTTGAACTGTATGTTCGCTATATCACGTCGTGTAGCTTAAACAGTTCCGGCCCGAAATGACAGAGGTTGTTAACTTTACCATTTTGGTGAAACGCACGAGCATGGGTAGGATGTAGAAAGAGGTATATTTGGAACGAAACAACCAATATTTCATAAGGGATACACAACTGCACACTGACTAAGGTCACTGGTATAACCCTGCATCCTTTTGCACTAAGAAAACATACTGAATAACTTTGTTATGCGGTCAAAAAAACATATAAAAAAGCATTATCTTTACCTGTGGCATGTCTGGATGATATCTGCTTTTGGCCAGACAGTGTGCGCTTCGAATGAGGCTTCCTTGTCTTAGTTGGCTCCGTGATCCCGGCATTAACATGTTCTGTGCCAATTATTGGATGTGAATCCTCGGAGCTCAATGTCGTCACACCATCTTTGTCCTTCTTAATCGTGGAATCACGACCTGCTCTGGCTAGTGACTGAAACTGTGAATAACTTGGGATATCACCAGCTTGCAGGAATGTTTGGAGTTTCTTCCTTTTGGATTGAGCGTCATGACCTGTCGACTTCATCTCGCCAAGTTTGTTTGCCAGATCTTTGATAACCACTGCATACCCAGTGCTGTGTTCGGTGGTCTGGAAGGCTGACAGTGCTCCGGTGTTAACATTGCTGACAGCTGAACCTCCGCCATACAGCATGTTAACCATATGACGTTGACTTTGTTGAGAGCTGCAACTATGAGATTTCATTTCACCAAGAACATTTGCAATGTCTATAATCGTGGCTGCAAATCCCGGTGTTTTTGGAAGTGTAGGCATCTTGGTCTCGTTATCTTCAACTTCTGAGAGATTTGAGTTACCAGTGACGATATGGTCATCATTATCATCATCATCATCAACATCATCATCATCATCATCATCATATTCAATTGCATTTAAAGGTACACTGCACCTCTGCTTGTAAGAGCATGGCATTGGTGTTGAATTTCTAATGACGATATCGTCATCATCATCATGATCATCATCTCGGTTTAAAGGTACACTGCACTTCTGCTTATAAGAACATGGCACTGGTGTTGAGTTGCCAATGACGATATCATCATCATCATCATGATCATCATCTGGGCTTAAAGGTACACTGCCCTTCTGCGTATAAGAGCATGGCACTGGTGTTGAGTTGCCAATGACGATATCGTCATCATCATCATGATCATCATCTGGATTTAAAGGAACACTGCACTTTTGCTTATAAGAACATGGCACTGGTGTTGAGTTGCCAATGACGATATCGTCATCATCATCATAATCTTCATCTGGATTTAAGGGTACACTGCACTTCTCCTTGTAAGAACATGACACTGGTGTTGAGTTGCCAATGACGATGTCGTCATCATCATCATGACTGCAATAACCTTCAATGTGATCTTCTCCACCGGTAACAGCTGACCTAGACCCCTTCATGCACCTCCTGCCAGTGGCAATCCTTTCATCCATATGTTTAATGCCATCTTTTCTGCGGGGTTGACTACCGGTTCTTACATATCCTGGCGCACAGCTTGGTTTCATTGGCTTAGGGTGGAGTCCATTCTTTTTTGACTTGCTATCTGCCACTCTGCCGTTTGATCTGTTCGTGAATGTCCCAACTGTTTCTGATTTTCCGAACATTTTGTCAACCTTCTCACGAACCTCTTGGTCAATCCTCTTCATCACCAAGTCTTTATCTCCAGCGTTAGCAGACACGTGTTCATCGGCATTACGCTGGTGTACTTTTGAAGAGAGACGCAGTTTGATCTTGTATGGGTCGTGCTGAGCGTTGACGCAGCCCTTGCATGGATGAGCTCCCTTTATCTTCTTGGTAGCCTTGGCAGGGTCTACTTTGCCTCGTTTACATCCAGAGGTGAAAGGCTTTGGGAGTGGTCTACCCTTAGTACATGGGAAATCTCCTGCATGTGTTCTGCTGACATTAGTTGTTGATTTTTCTGAATTTGCAAAAAAAGATTCAATCAACTTAAATTTTATAATCAACACATATCATAGATGATAAATAGTTAAACCTTGTTTCGTAGAAGGCCTCGATAGAATCGAAGAAAAGCCGTGGTCCTATATTAGATTAAAACGAAATATATCGTGATGATCTATATATTAAGTTCGAGGTTTTTTTCGAGCGTTTTTTTCTGTAATTACCAAACGTGATCAAATCAGTACACATGACATCATCAACAAAAATGATATCATAATAATGATAAAATCAACTCATGTGATGCGTCCCAGTAATAATGATAATAAAACAATATTACATTGGGGGCACGGGTGGCCCAGTTATATTCACTGTGCAGAGTTGCGTCTCTTGGGCACGCCAGAAACCTATGCCTACATCAAGCTAACACACCATGGTGTAACTGGAATACTGTTCAAAGCGGCGTTAACCCAACTCATTCACTCAATATTACGCTTCAAGCATGAGACAACATTACTGACATTGTACCTTTAGGATAAACATGCTGTGGCGAGACAGCGGCAGACTTGATCATCCAGAATTTCCGTGGCTTTCTGTTCTTGGCTTTTGCCGGTCTTACATCGACATCATTCCCAGATACACACGATATACATAACTGTGAAGAGAAACAATGCTATTGATCAGTATATGGGAATTTGAGTCTGTTCCGAATTCGTTTGTTTCTTGAGTACAACATGGTGGTAACAGCCATACTCTATCAATGAAATGTTGAATAGTATCTGATGGAGCGAGTGAGTGAGTTGGGTTTTTACGCCGCTTTTAACATTATTCCAGTTATATCACGGCGTGTCAGCTTTATGTGGGAGGAGAGCCCGAAGAGATGCAGGTCTCAGACGTTTACTACTCCGGTGAAACCCACGAGCACGGGTATGGTGCTGACAAACCTAGAAACATAATCGGGGCGAACCGGGATTCGACCCCACAATAATAGGTTTCTAGGGTCCCCAGGTGCGCAACTCTGCATAGCAAATCGCGGCGCCTTAGACGACTGGGCCACCCGTGCCCCGTACCTGATTGAAAATATGGACAATATTCGTTTTGTATATGCCACAATTAAACATCCACACTGTTTTCGAGTCTGCTATAATATTTCAATAATTGAATGTTGTGAGTTCGCTATTTGCCATTAAATATACCTGAAAGGATGACACAATCCAGTCAGAGACGCGACCCATGTTGGTTGGCAGAATAACCTTTGTCCTGGAATAGAAATAAATAACATTTTCTTAAAGCTTGCTTTCTACATTGTCATGTATCAAAAATACGAATTCATAAATGGATATAAATCTTACTTACGATGGAAAGGTTCTGTTTTTTAGGAGTAGAAATAATTATCCCCTCGGTGCTGATGAAAATATTTGTTACAAATTCTCAGCGTGACAGTACGTGTTGCGATTCCAAGGAAGGATGCGTCAACAATATCCTGACGTCATAAACAAACGAGATCTCGCGTCAACGTTTCTGTGATGTAACAATGTTCTGACGTCACATGCAAGCGACGTCTATACGCTCGGGGTCAATCGGTTTGACGGAAATAGCCGAACGTGAGATTGGCTCGGAGTAACAATAGCGTGACGTCACAGTACTATCGAAATGATGCGTATGTCCAGACAATTCAATATTATCCATATGGTTCATCTGGCATAATCAGTATTGGTTCGAAAATGTGCCATAAGGAAAAAATGTCATTATGTAGTTTCTAATTTTACTTGGTTTTGTTTGTTAAAAATACGAAGCTGAACAATAGTTAACAATTCAACACAGAGCTATACAAAGATAATAATCACTTCCAACCGATTCTTTTAGCATTTAGCATTCTGTATCAATGAATATAGGTTATCAAATATTGGTATTTTCATGATACAAGAGTTTCAGTGGAAATACGTATGTCCCATAATGCATCATGAACCATGTTGGTTAAAATACTAGACTAGCTATAGCACAAAACTTATTTCGCGCTAATTAAGTACAGAAATCAACTGAAAAAGTGCATACCTCAATATCACGAAACAAGTCGGTGGTCAGGTAAATGTATACGCTTGTCAGACGCTGTTGACAGATTATACGAGAGCTTCCAATAACTTCGTCCTTCCCCGCAGCAGCCGTATGCGACAATGAGCTGACGTCATTCACCATCGCTACGCTTCTGTGACGTCATTATCTCGTGAGATTATCCTTCGCTAATTTGTTTTGACAACAATACATGTTCATAATGGAACTTTTATACCTTATTAGCAGCACAGTTTACAAAAGTAAAACAGTTTAACTTTCGTGTAATTTGATTAAAGGTGTGTGGATATTGTGTTGTTACTGGGTTTTTTTTGTTACCTTCACAATCCGATTTAATGCATTTATATTGTATTTTCAGGACGAAACATGCGTGCTATTGTCGTAATTGAACATCAGTTCGTTCATTTGTTTTGAGACAACGGGAACAGGAGATGTGTTAATGTGTTGGTTGGTTGGTTTGTTGTTTAACGCCGCACTCAGCAATATTCCAGCTATACGGCGGTCGGTCTGTAAAATAATCAAGTCTGGACAAGACAATCCAGTGATTGATATCATGAGCATCGATCCACGCAATTGGGATCGATGGCATGCATCAACCAAGTCAGCGAGCCTGACCACCCGATCCCGTTAGTCGCCTTTTACGACAAGCATAGTCACCTTTTACGACAAGCATGGGTTGCTGAAGACCTATTCTACCCCGGAATCTTCACGGGTCGTTAATGTGTTGAATCACATTGTACGCATGCTAGGAATCAAACCTATCCGTAAATGCTGAACAACTATGCTATCCCTCTGCCACTTATTTCAAAGAAGAGAGAGATATATTCCCTAAATTTGATGCAATCTCACAGTACACTTAGTTAAATTGATCCAAAATACATTTCCAAGCCTAATAAATGTTATTAGACGTTATGATTATTTTTGATAAACCATCATATAGATAATTTTGTGTCAGTGATGTTTGTTTTTATCTTACCAATCGTCCACGTAACCTTGCGATTAAATATCTCCAAACATGAAATGTGAAATGTGTCTTCGGTAACATCATAATTTATTTTTTCAATAACAGCATCAAATGAGAAAGGCGTTATGTGATCTTTAAATATATGTTATCCGAAAATGTGTTTAATGAAAACAGTAACATTTAAAAATGACTCATGGATGATTTACAATAACTTACGTACTACTTATATAATTTCTAAGAATGTGAGGTGAGATGCATTCAAGATTATTAAACTTATATAGGACGCGAATGTGTGTCTGCTTGTCCGGACTAATGCCGGTTATGTGGTGATAGTCCTGAGATACCATGCCATAGTTTAACATGGATACCCCACACCATGACTAGTCCTTGTTTTATCCTTTTAATGAGAGCCAGGCAGGGAAACAACAAGTACCATGACACGGCAAGGGGATCGTACCACCGACCTTCAGCTCGCAAACGCTCTTCCACTAGACCAGGGAGGCGGTCTTCAGCATTGTACCTTTCCCTGTTAAGTGGAGCCTACTCGTAATCTTCGAAAAATAAAGTTTGCAAAACGTGTACTGCTTATGCAAAAAGCTGATAAAACCCTGCATGGACTGAATATACGGTCAGGTCTACATGTAAGCCTATAGATAGTGAGTTTGGTTTGAACAGTATTTCAGTTATATCACAGCATGGCAGTTTAATGTGCAGGGAAATCCCCAAGGGATGCAGGTTATATGGTCTACTTTTTAGTCAACCCTGGGAGCACAGGTCATAAGTGTCTACTATTTGGTCAAGCCCGGGAGCGCAGGTCATAGGTGTCTACTATGTAGTGAACCACACAAGCACAGGTCATAGGTGTCTACTAATTAGTGAACCACACAAGCACATGTCATAGGTGTCTACTAATTAGTGAACCACACAAGCACAGGTCATAGGTGTCTACTAATTAGTGAACCACACAAGCACAGGTCATAGGTGTTTACTATTTAGTGAACCACACAAGCGCAGGTCATACGTGTCTACTATTTAGCGAACCACACAAGCACAGGTCATAGGTGTCTACTATTTAGTGAACCACACAGGCACAGGTCATAGGTGTCTACTATTTAGTGAACCACACAAGCACAGGTCATAGGTGTCTACTATTTAGTGAACCACACAGGCACAGGACATAGGTGTCTACTATTTAGTGAACCACACAAGCACAGGTCATAGGTGTCTACTATTTAGTGAACCACACAAGCACAGGACATAGGTGTCTACTATTCAGTCAACCACACAAGCACAGGTCATAGGTGTCTACTATTCAGTCAACCACACAAGCACAGGTCATAGGTGTCTACTATTCAGTCAACCACACAAGCACAGGTCAAACCCATGAAACAGGTGATTATTTCATGACAAGGGATGCAACTCTGCACAGTGAGTTATGTCCACTAACAACCTTAGGCCACCTATGAGCCCAACAATAACACCAACAAATATCAAATATAAGATTAAATAATCATTTATTGTAGTTCTGTGAATAAATCATGTAAAAATATATAATCCAAACATTTCTTTGTGAACATGTCCATGAATACTGTCTCTTGAGCAAAACACAACACAATGAAGCATGCTAATACTGACTGAAGCAAACAATTAATAAATTAAAATAATCAACAGTGATACAAAATCATCACAGAGCTTCTGTACTGTAAACATAGTATCTGGCAATAGCAATCATTGTTCTTAAATAGTTTAAAGTGTAAATAAATGTAAACATATAATCTGGCAAAAGCAATCTTTGTACTCAAATAAGTTAGAGTGTGAAGATAAAGAAGTCAAGTACACTGTTCTGGCATCAGTTTGAGGCTTCTTTTGTTTTAACTGTAGGTTTTCCAGTCATAAGACTTAGTGTATGTTCACAAAATAACTCCACTTCTCTTTTGGTGCTCTGAGAAGATACTTTGTGAAATTCTTTCCTTTCCATTTCTAATGTGTACGAAAATCAAAGTCAAGTTTATGTTTAAACTTTCCCTCCTTGAATTTGAATCATTCCGGCTTTCTGATCACTGACATTACCCATAAACATGGAAAGCATTCAACATGTGCAAGGAGACAGTTTCCTGAATATTGTTTGTTGTCTGGGATACGTAAACATCACATTAAATGGAAAAAGTAGGGGTGATATTCCCCTTCCTCAGGGATCCTACAACCTAATTAGGTGTTGTTAAACAAATTTATAAGATAGTGGTATACATGAAACAAATATATATTTAACAACAAACCCTTCAACAAGCACTGCATACAGAGTACAGTTGCAAACACTAACCCACTGATAACAAAGCGTCTTACTAACACTCAAACAGTTAGTAGGACGTCTAGTGACCCACTGATGAAGATGTGTAACTGTTATGAATAACAAGATTCACACGATGAAGGGGCAAGAAGTCGCCCTGAAATATCATTACCATCAAAAAAATAGTTATCAAAGTTCCTTATTATCATGTCTTCATGTTCTTCTAACATCAAAGTGCCAATCAACGATTCAACCTAATGTTACAAAATCTGTTCCCGAAACATCGATCATCCAATTGAAAGTCAAATTGTTTGTGTTTTCCTTATAAAATAATAAGCCAATACTAGCTGCTTTAATATGAAATTAATGTTCGGTCAGCAGTTTTACCTTCATGGTATGTCTATGTGTGAAGTCATTTTTATTCTTGACATTATCAATTTGAGGGACTTTCTAATCCTCAGCAAACCACCCACACTTACGCATATCACAGAGATGTTAACACAATGCAAGGGATTTAAACTCTACAACTGTGTTTGTAAATCAGTATGATTCTAATCTGGTTTTCTCAGCAAAAGCTAGAGTTGGGCCCAGCAATTCAGGTCTTTGTCCTGGGATATCATTATCATGATTTGCATCAGCTCTGGACCTAAGAACAGATTTTTTCTTTGATTTACTCTTTGGTGTTCCACTTCTTGAGTCTACACTCCAGTTGTCTCCCCCTGAGTCTCCTCTCTGACCAGAGGGCAGCAAATGTGGAGATCTTTTCCCCGGTGGAGCACTCTGAACTTTGTAGGGTGGCGCTGTGGTGGAATCTGACCCCCAGTCAGAGTCAGAATCATAACACAGACCGGACAACATACTAGATGCTGAGCTGATTCTTTTGGACTTCCATTTCTCAGAATCATTTACAGATTTGGTCTTTCCAGCAGAGCCTATCCCAGAATCCCTACTTGTGCTAAAGTCATTCCTGTCATTTTCACTGTTACATTCTTCTACAGGAGCCAGAGAACCAGTCTTCAGTTTGGAGGATGGCATCTTTGCATTATTGTCTACACAATGCCAACCTGACGCCATGAACTCAGAACCATTTGGAACCTCATTATTTTCGTCCCAAGACATTGACACCAACACATCTTCTTTTACCTTTGAATGTTTGTCAGCATTTGATGATTGAGCATTTCTAAATTTCTTGATTGTCTTATTCTTTTCCTGCACACTTTCCTCAAGTTTCTTTATTTTGTCTTCCTGCTCAGACAGCTGCTGTGACAGATCCAGGATCAAGGTCATGCGTCCACTCATCTCACCAGTCAACCCCACAGCAGTGTCACCAGATGTTGACGAAGAGGCATCAACTTTATCTAAAAACAAGCAATTCACAAACTTTGTAATCAGCCATGCCTTCTATCAAGAATAATGTGTATGAGAGTACCGTGATGGGATCCGAACCATAGACCTTCTGATCTGAAGTCAGACATCTTTTCTCCCTGGCCAAGAGGTTATCCCTGTCAGCAAGCTTACAAGGTATGGATGTCATCTGTAAGATGACTCCACACCCTGATACATACTCCCCTGTCAACAGAAGGCATGTCCCAGGCCTCATAGCAGGGTAGTAAGACTTTGTTTAATATGAACATGCTCAGGCCCCGTTTGGCACAAATTTAGCAGCCATAAATATTTCTGAGTCCCATGATGGGATTCGAACCTCAGATCTTCTGATCCGAAGTCACCTTTTCTACATGGCCAAGAGGTTAACCCTGTCAGCAAGCCTACAAGGTATGGATGTCATCTGTGGGATGACTCCACGCCCCGCTGCATATTTTTTCATACAAATACAACATGATTGATTTGAGTTGGGTGCATACGTTCTGGTGACCATATTTCACTCCTGGTGTATGAGATATAGAATGGGGTGTTTGATAATAATCATAGTAAAAGACATACAATTTCATTATTTCTATCTGAACAGATTACTGGCACCATATCCTGGGCTTATGTAAACCTTAGGTACAGATGATTATATTTTATAGATTTATTAATTTTTACTGTCTGAGCTTTGCAATGAAGCCGTTTCTTGACAGTCCCAGGCAATAAAGTCTACAGCTGCAGCTGGAACAAGATTGTCTTACTCTTGACAGTCCCAGACATAAAGTTCACAGCTGCAGCTGGAACAAGATTGTCTTACTCTTGGCAGTCACAGACATAAAGTCTACAACTGCAGCTGGAACAAGATTGTCTTACTCTTGACAGTCACAGACACAAAGTCTACAGCTGCAGCTGGAACATGATTGTCTTACTCTTGACAGTCACAGACATAGTCTACAGCAGCAGCTGGAACATGATTGTCTTACTCTTGACAGTCACAGACTTAAAGTCTACAGCTGCAGCTGGAACATGATTGTCTTACTCTTGACAGTCCCAGACTTAAAGTCTACAGCTGCAGCTGGAACATGATTGTCTTACTCTTGACAGTCCCAGACACAAAGTCTACAGCTGCAGCTGGAACATGATTGTCTTACTCTTGACAGTCCCAGACACAAAGTCTACAGCTGCAGCTGGAACATGATTGTCTTACTCTAGACAGTCCCAGACACAAAGTCTACAGCTGCAGCTGGAACATGATTGTTTTACTCTAGACAGTCCCAGACATAAAGTCTACAACTGCAGGTGGAACATGATTGTCTTACTCTAGACAGTCCCAGACTTAAAGTCTACAGCTGCAGGTGGAACATGATTGTCTTACACTAGACAGTCCCAGACACAAAGTCTACAGCTGCAGGTGGAACATGATTGTCTTACTCTAGACAGTCCCAGACTTAAAGTCTACAACTGCAGCTGGAACATGATTGTCTTACACTAGACAGTCCCAGACACAAAGTCTACAGCTGCAGGTGGAACATGATTGTCTTACACTAGACAGTCCCAGACTTAAAGTCTACAGCTGCAGGTGGAACATGATTGTCTTACACTAGACAGTCCCAGACACAAAGTCTACAGCTGCAGGTGGAACATGATTGTCTTACTCTAGACAGTCCCAGACACAAAGTCTACAACTGCAGCTGGAACATGATTGTCTTACTCTTGACAGTCCCAGACATAAAGTCTACAACTGCAGCTGGAACATGATTGTCTTACTCTAGACAGTCCCAGACTTAAAGTCTACAGCTGCAGCTGGAACATGATTGTCTTACTCTAGACAGTCCCAGACTTAAAGTCTACAACTGCAGCTGGAACATGATTGTCTTACTCTAGACAGTCCCAGACTTAAAGTCTACAACCGCAGCTGGAACATGATTGTCTTACTCTAGACAGTTACAGGCATAAAGTCTACAGCTGCAGCTGGAACATGATTGTCTTACTCTAGACAGTCCCAGACATAAAGTCTACAGCTGCAGCTGGAACATGATTGTCTTACACTAGACAGTTACAGGCATAAAGTCTACAGCTGCAGCTGGAACATGATTGTCTTACTCTAGACAGTCCCAGACATAAAGTCTACAGCTGCAGCTGGAACATGATTGTCTTACTCTAGACAGTCACAGACTTAAAGTCTACAGCTGCAGCTGGAACATGATTGTCTTACTCTAGACAGTCCCAGACACAAAGTCTACAACAGCAGCTGGAACATGATTGTCTTACTCTTGAGTGCGCTGTTCTCCTCCCTGAGTTTACTGATCTCCTCCCTCAGCTCAAATGTCTGTATCGACATCTCCTGCCTCGTCTCCGTCAGCTGAGAGTTCAAGGACTTCAACTTCTTTTTGTGTTTCATTTTCTGAAGATGTCACACAAAAATAACATGTAAAAGAAAGCACATCTTGACATAATTTGCATTATGGCTGCATTCATAAGTATCCTAACTAATAATGGCATCCTACAGAAACAAATTTACAGGTAGTGCATTCAGGAAAGAATCACCACTGCATTTTAAATATCATTATTATTGAAATCATCACAATGTTAACCAACATCTGGAAATTATCTTGGAAAGTCTGTGCCAAGATCATGGTATGTCATGCCTTGACAAACAATCCCTATTACTTCTGTTACTTTAATTAAACACATATAGTTTGCATTGTATTTTATTTTGTATCAAGACTCCATTTGGAAACCTTTAATAAATCCTTGGATATTATTACTGCTATTTGTGTTTATTCTATCAACAACTGTGGCATCAAATATTCTTGTAAGTTTAAAAAGACCACATAAGTTTTGCTAGATTCTATTTGCCAGCAAACCCATCTGATGTGAAGCAGCCATATATAGTGGTGGTACATGGTCTTGTGCATAGAGCACAGGTCACAAGTCAGGTGAAGTTAAGCAATGTTTCTCGCAGTGTTCTTGGATGGATGACCGCATTTTGGCAGCTTGGCTCCTAAGAGTTTCTAGGGCTTCGGTCGTGCCCCACACTGAAGCACATGTGGCGTCTCCTTGGGCAAGTGACTTTGTTCGAACATGTGCCTCTGTTCACTCAGCAGTGAATGGGTACCCGGTAGGTGTTAACCTTCTAGCGCCAAACAGGCAGCATGGGTTGTATATTCCCCAGGGAGATGAGAATGATTGTTGAGTGCAAACTAATCCAGTGACAGGGGAAATATTAGCTCTTTGAGCCCTTTGTGGAAATAACCGCAATATAAATGGCCTATTATTATTATTACCATATACCTACAATGTCCGCAACTCACCAGCTTGCTGTTCTCCTGCTGTGCGGCCTGTAGCTCCAGCTCCAGCTTGGCGATGTACTGATCCTTGACCTGCAGGGTCTCCGTACACACTTCCTCCCTACCAGCTTCCTGCAGCTGCTCCGCAAGCCTCTCCTCGAGCAGCTGTATCTGGTCCTGGAAGTCCAGCTGTTGACTCTCACTCTCTGCCAGCTGCAATAGAAACACAACTCCTGTGTCAGTTTAACCCTCACCCACTGCCAGCTGCGACAGAAACACAACTCCTGTGGCAATTTAACCCTCACCCACTGCCAGCTGCGACAGAAACACAACTCCTGTGTCAATTTATCCCTCACTCTTTGCCAGCTGCAATAGAAACACAACTCCTGTGTCAGTTTAACCCTCACCCACTGCCAGCTGCGACAGAAACACAACTCCTGTGGCAATTTAACCCTCACTCTCTGCCAGCTGCGACAGAAACACAACTCCTGTGTCAGTTTAACCCTCACCCACTGCCAGCTGTGATAGAAACACAACTCCTGTGTCAGTTTAACCCTCACCCACTGCCAGCTGTGACAGAAACACAACTCCTGTGTCAGTTTAACCCTCACCCACTGCCAGCTGTGACAGAAACACAACTCCTGTGTCAGTTTAACCCTCACCCACTGCCAGCTGTGACAGAAACACAACTCCTGTGTCAGTTTAACCCTCACCCACTGCCAGCTGTGACAGAAACACAACTCCTGTGTCAGTTTAACCCTCACCCACTGCCAGCTGTGACAGAAACACAACTCCTGTGTCAGTTTAACCCTCACCCACTGCCAGCTGTGACAGAAACACAACTCCTGTGTCAGTTTAACCCTCACCCACTGCCAGCTGTGACAGAAACACAACTCCTGTGTCAGTTTAACCCTCACCCACTGCCAGCTGCGATAGAAACACATCTCCTGTGTCAGTTTAACCCTCACCCACTGCCAGCTGTGACAGAAACACAACTCCTGTGTCAGTTTAACCCTCACCCACTGCCAGCTGTGATAGAAACACATCTCCTGTGTCAGTTTAACCCTCACCCACTGGAAGCTGTAAAGCAGCTCTTAATCTACACTCACATAATAAATCAATATCAGGGTCTTACAAATAAAAGGTACCCACAATGAAACTTAAGATGGACCAACAGATAGTATTTCTGAATGCTCAGTTACACAACTGCATCAGTGTAGTAGATGAGTATACATCTTCCGATCTGTCCCTTGAATTGCCACTCAAAGAGAGTGGATTGCACATTAAACTATGAGGAGGATGCTGGCGAGGGGAACAGCTCAAAAACATACCTGGTCTTTTTAGTACACTGACTTTAACTTCAATATTTACATTGAATAAATTTTATTCTCCCCATATTATTATCCTAGAACTGTAGCCATCATGAAAACATTTCTGAAATTATTCTTGCAACCCTATTTGAGAAAACCCTTCAAGTACAGCTTATGTTCCACTGTGGTTTCTATTTTTTAACTTCTGAGAAAAGCATGCATCTCTATCAAATGTCGAGGTGGATTTACGTATAAATACTTTATGATCAGTCCTTGGCCCCGTTCCACAAAGCGAACGTCACGCTGAGATCATCACAACTTCCATACTTTAACATAGACTTATGACAATCAAAGTGCTAAGATCGCTTTGTGGAACGGAGCCCTGTTATGTATATACCTGTTTCTCCAGATCTTTGAGCTTGGCATCTGTATCATTTCGATGGCTTTCACTTGTTCCACTTTCAGTTGTCTGAGAAATGATCATTAGAATAATGTAGTGAAATACATGGAGAAAGTCTTGTCAACATGGTCACCAAACAAGCATGCTATCGAATTCTTTTTTACGTCAAAGCATCAAAGTAAACAGGCTACTGGAATCTCAATACATCAACCTAAATGCTGAAAATATTTCTTTTACATGTTCTGGAATACCGTTAACCATGGTAACTGATGGCTAATTTTCCAAATGAACGAAAGGTTCGTTTTATTTCAGCATGTTCAGTTGGTGAACTGGTTTGATCATAATATATTGACCTCTTTGATTGACATAATCATCATCCATAAACCATTATAACAACATACATATTGTCTGAACGAATATTACATTTGTCCCAAAACAAGATGATCTTAAGTAGTTGTGCAAGATAGAAACTTTGTCTGAAAACATGTCCATGATTTATTGTTTTGAAACATAACATGATTCACCAACTTGTTACAACAACACTGACTGTTTATAATGTTATGGCTGTCAGACTTTAGTCCAACTAACCACATTTATAGCTGCACTGTAGCATTACTATCAGCAATACTGTACATCAGCATGGTGAATAACATACCAAGTTACTTGTCCCTGTCACTGTAGCCTGGATCTGTCTGCCTGCAGTCCTGAAAGAAAGAACCCAGACACAACTTTAGCGTGAGCTTGCAGTCCCAAACCCGCCTTCTATTCATGCTTGGATGTATAAATGCGGTTTTACTACAGCAAACAGAGGATATCTGTAAATGAACACGTTTCTACAAATAAATAGCGGGAGATTATTTGGATAGAATTCATTTATGAGGATATTATCAGATAAATTCCTCAAACATACATATTGTATACTTACGACTACTGAGTAATTCCAGTTGTGATAACTGCATTTAATTTTCTATTAATTTCCTGTGGTACTGAAATTACATTCTAGTTTCCTTTAGGTGAGTCAGGCATCAGTCCTTGTTTACAAACACCTCTTCATTGATTTAATACAAGTGTAAACACATGAAATGATAATGAGTGAGTAAAGTTTTACGCCGCTTTTAGCAATATTCCAGCAATATCATGGCAGTGGACACCAGAAATGGGCTTCACACATCGTACCCATGTCGGGAATCGAACCCGGGTCTTTGGCATGATGAGTGAACACTTTCACCACTAGGCTACCCGACCGCCCCGAAATGATATAGAAATCCTTAGTCATAATTATAAAAATAGAACTTCTTGGCGACAATAATAAAATACCTAGCAACTGATGGCATCCTGCAAAGAATCCTACATTTTATAATTAAATAAACCCCCAAAGACAAAGGTGTTTACAAACAACATGGATTCTGTTGAAGTAAGAGACATGTTAAATAGTTAAAGGGGATTGCTGTAGTATCCTCAGTGTTGGCTATTAAAGGTTAGATGTACAGATTGACGGTATTAAACTAATTGACTTTCACCGATGTCTCAACTACTCATGGCATCCTTGTAAGGTGCACACTTTTGACATGAATAAGTCTTGCAACCACTAGTTTATCAGAAGTATTATAAAAACATAAGAAATTCCTTTATCACAAATGTATTACATGTGTGAAGCAGTCAGACTCCAAACATCGCAACCATTTACAAATCACTCTGCACCTTGTCCGAAAAGACAATAATGCTTCACCAAATCAAAACAAGCAGAAAACTGGTTACAAAAACAACCTTTTTGTCATCTGTGAACTACTACTGTCACATTAATCCTGATCAACACAAAAAAAATATCCAAAATAGTTTCAGGAAACGTTTGTTCCAATGGAGTTACATCAGTGACAACCACTAAAATGTACTGTTGTGACCTACAGCCGCCCATATGACATTCTGCAAGTGAGAGCATGGCTTGGTTTGATTGAATTTAGTTGTGGAAATATATCACTAGATCTATATAATAAGCAAATGTCACAAAATGAAATGCTTCCATTGTCATTACCATTACTACAGTTTCAAATATTGTGCAACATATCTTCAATAATTGTTTTATCAAATAGTTCATGTCAGATGGATATTATTTTTCATTCACATGGCTAAGGAATAAATTATCTCTATGCATTCTGCGCCATAATGTACCGAAAGACTTCAATAATTTCAGTGTAATTGTTTGTAAAAGGGAAAAATTTGATGTAGCAGTGATAAATAGAATTCACCACTCATGATAAATCCTCTCTTTAAGAAATAATGTTTGCTCTACTCCATGTATAGTGTAATAAAGTACAGTTTTGTCCTCAATTAATATAATAAAGCACCAAGATGTAAAACTTTACTTTATTACACTACACATGGGGGAAGAGCAAACTTTATAACTTTTCTGAGATTTAAAGGGCAAGTAAAGTCATCATAGCAACTTTGCTGATTTTAATACTTTGGGACATGCTTATAACAAATGCTTGATCAAAAATAAATTTGAAAAACGGAAATAGCGTGAAACAGACGACAAATAATGACAGGCAAATTCATCCCCCAAATGACAAATTCTGTTACTGCGGTGATTTCCCTTTCTGGGTGTTAAAATGGGTTCCCTGTGCTGCGTTATTTCAACGACCTTATGTTTTATTGAAAATGGGTTTAATCCAAGCCATAAATTGAAAAAACGGGCAAACTAACGGACTATTCCACCTATATACATTCTTTTGCAATTGATTGATTATTTATCTCAAGACAAAGATAGCAGCATAACCTTCTTCTCCGTATACTCATAAATACGAAGTGAAGTTATTAGGGCAGAGAAGTGATATCATGCACGTGATATTTCACTTTTCCCCTTGGTTCCAATAGAATTGTACTTGGCGACCATGTCATATATCTCTTATTTACCTTGCAGACTCATTGTAACCTTTTTCCGTTTCACTGTGGATAGTTTTAACTTGGGTGCTCGCTCCGGAACCCATTCTATCTTAGTAGTTTATTCATTAATTAATAAAGTCCATATGTTACAGAGGCACTGCTCCAAAAAATGCGCTCTTGTCAGCCATTTTGTCGGCAATGAAAACAACACATTCGGAGTTTCTCGTGATGAAATAGATCATCAGCTCCAAACAACGACCCTACCATTGCTTTACTTCAAAAAGTAGCACGCGTTGGTATGGAGCTTGACTACAACTGGACAATCCGAGTTGTGCCGAATGAGGAATTATCGGAATATTACCCACAGAACTAATAACATTTATTGTAATGTGTACTTAAGATGTTTGTCAATAAAGCAATAAATTAGCTAGATAGCTTTACATCACATAAAATATACAACTTAAATTAAATGTAAATGTTACTACAATTGATATTAGTTGTATGATGAGTAGCAGTTTTTGTTATATTTTATCGAATCTATTAAGTTGTCCCAAATATAAATTTGTGTAGTTATTTATATACATTTAGCCAATTTAACTTGTCTATATTATATGAGTTTGAAAATTATATAAGAAACTAATCCATTTTTTAGCAGTTTTATCAATTGTGGCCGTAAAAATAATTATAAGAAATATTGTAAACAAATGGGTTGTGACCATCAAAATGGCGACGGACAAAATGGATTGTTATCAATCCTGTTCAGGAGCTCAAGTTTTGAGCAACCCCATCATCTTAAAAAATGTGTTATCGTGCATTCCAATGAAATCTCTTCAGAAATGCGCTAGGTAATGGCAGTCTGAGCTGTTTCAAAAACGGGCAGTTTATTTTAATGTAGACTTAAGATTTTTTCGCCCGGTGTAGTGCATTTCCTTACAATTGAGTAATGAGAGTACCGGAAAAAGGCCCTCGAGGCCTACGACGCGTTAATCGAAGATGTATATAGATTGTATATACGCCTTTGCGTTAATGAGTTCGTATCTGTACACACTGTACAATTATATTTGTGTGACATTTGTATCCTGGTGGCACAACGGTACCTTATATTATCTCGACAGTTGTCGTTTCTACCGGAATAGAGATCACTGAAGACGAAGAGATCGCTATCATTCATTTTAGCAAGCAAATGTCAAAACATTGACATAAACTCTTTGAAATAGCATTTCTCATCTTTGCATGCTTCTCTGGTGCAATCAGTGTAGAAACAGTTTGTTAGTTTTGTGCCTGGAGCCAATGAAAACGAGAATGCCACCTAGTCTAATTCACAGAATCAACCAAATAATCTGGTCAACATTTATAGGTCACACTAAGAATATCAACATGTTTGTTGAACAACTGTTTGACAATTAAGAGTTGCATCTCCTACCACACCAGAGACCTATGATAATGAGTTTGAATCATGGTTTGCCATGCATCACTTCAAGGTTTCCTCCCACAGTAAGCTGACACACAGTGATGTGACAAGAATCCAATTTACTCACTTGACAGTTGTACAGAGTTGTTCGATAGTTGTTCAGCAACTGTTTGACAACTGTCAAAAGTATTCTAATTCAAACGGACATTGTGTCAATATTATTGACAAAGTGTGACCATGAATCTTTTCTTCTGAGAGCAGTTACCACCCTTCAATAGGCACCATCCACTAAATGGCCCTGCAGAATTGCCACTAAACGGCCCTGCAGAATTGCCACTGAGGGATATGCAACATGTATTAATATGGAATATTTTAAATAGTTTCTGCTTTCTTTCTGTTAATAAATTCATCACAAACTCACATTATTCCATTTATTTAGCTCTGACCTTAATTACAAGCATCACATCCACTATTACAGCCAATGCACAAGACAGCCCCATCAGCATCAGCTGAAATTTTCATCTTACCATTGACACTTATATATTTAGCAACCATGATCATACAAATATTCTCTGATGATGAATCTATATGTAGATAATCCAAGCAACAAAGTTTTGATTTGTTCTTGCAGGTGCTGTTTTCATGTTAGTGTTCAGTTAGTGAATTACTCAGCTATATATTTATGTATTTGTGTTATTGAACATGTAAGAGATATAATTATTAAACCATTAAAATGTTCATGGAGAAATGGGGGCGGTCGGGTAGCCTAGTGGTTAAAGCGTTCGCTCGTCACGCCGAAGACCCAGGTTCGATTCCCGACATGGGTACAAAGTGTGAAGCCCATTTCTGGTGTCCCCCGCCGTGATATTGCTGGAATATTGCTAAAAGCGGCGTAAAACCATACTCACTCACTCACTCATGGAGAAATGGGTTGTCACACACATAAACTAAATTGACACAAAATATCTGAGCCAGCCAAAGAATTACAGAGCAGGACACAATAAGATTGGCAACTGCTTGAGTGCATACACTGAAACATTTTCTTTTCTCAGATCAATTGAGTATATGGTGAAAATACCTGGCTGCATCCCTTGGTTGTGTTAAATCTGTATAAATGATCTGAGTTCTACCATGGAATCGGAGTCTAACATTTTTATGTTTGTTTGTTTGTTTGTTGTTTAACACCGCACTCAGAAATATTCCAGCTATATGACGATGTTCTGTAAATAATCGACTCTGGACCAGACAATCAAGTGATTGGCATCATGAGCATCTATTCACACATTTGGGATACAATGACATGCATCAAATCAAGTCAGCGAGCTTGACCACCCGATCCCGTTAGTCGCCTCTTATGACAAGCATAGTCACCTTTTAAGGCAAGTAGGGGTTGCTGAAGACCTATTCTAACCCGGATCTTCACAGGTCCTAACACTTTTACTACATGCTGAGTACTGAACAGTCATAATTTGTGTGGGGGGAATGTTCAGCCAGTTTAAATACAAACAGGTTACTACACAAAGACAAATCTTGTGCATCTCCTAAGGACAAAGATTTTTATGCTATTGAGATCACTATTAGCTCCATTCAAACAGTTGATATCTATATTGATTTACTTCTGAGTACATAGAGGTTATCAAGCGAGTGTGTTTGGGGATGGTAAATATCCTGCATTAGGAATAATCATTGTATTTAGCGAGCCTTGGCGAACTAAATACATAGTGTTTATTCCTAATACAGGATATTTACTAGGGCTGTCACGATTCACTCGCGTATTCGGTGAATCGAACCGTATCCATTCATGAATTGAATTCATTATTCGTGGCCACTAGAGTCGAATATTTATGAATATGTCACTGGTCATTGTTGCATTTGAGCAGATACTAGTACCTGGATAAATGCAGTATATAAATGAGTAATATATTTAATAATATATTAAAAATTAAGAAATCATGTCAAATAATTTATGTTGTTGTTGCCTCACTGAACATGCTGAATATGACAAATGATACATCAACTGCTGACTTGTTATTGTATTCGTGAATTTTTATTCGTATTCGTTACCCTATATTCATGAAACAAATCATATTCGCCTCATAGCGTATTCGTTGCAGCCCTGATATTTACTATCCCCAAACACACTCGCGTAATAACCTCTTTATCATACAATGTCATTCTTTAATTCTGTGCTTCAAAATCGCTTTCCCTCTCTCACAAACATTACTGAAACATTGCGAGTTTTCCTGGAATGCGCGCGTTAATATTTATTACGTCACAGGGTAAGTGATGTGTCAGTCGGACAGTGACAGTAGCCAATATAGTTCCAACTGAAATCTGTTTCTTATCCAGTGGCAAAGCAACAAATACGCAAAACAACAATTGTTTTTAATTGCCTTTCGCGGCGATCCATCGGTCTGTCCGCTAGAGTAACTGCCCTTTGTCAAAGGGAAGCTACTCTAACCCTAGTCTATGAGACGTCACGGCCACGGTCAGACGTTGACAGTCGGTCTGTCCTGTCATAACGTTAAGAAGTGTAGTCATATGTACACACAGCGACAAAACGAAACAAGGTAACAATTCAAATATATTTCGGCCAAATGAAACTTTTTTAATTTGTGGAGAAGGTTTCAAGCCGCAGAGGTCTACAAGCACAGATATGGCTACTCGTACCCTCGCAAAATGTTTCGAAATTTATATCTCCAAAGTTGCCAAAACTTATAAAATGCCTTAGCTACGTCACAGTTAGACACAGATTTTCAGTATATTAGACTGTTCTTTTGATAATGATAGCAATTATCCCTGTAGTTTATCCAGATTCTCGATGGTTAATTCTGACTCGATTGCGGAATGACGAGGGCGACGCCATGTTTGTTTATAAACAATGAAAGTAGTCCCTACTTGACCTTTGATATTTGCATCTCTATCCGCATATGACCCCAACGGATAACGTTTTTATCCGTTGGCTTTATCCTGCCGAGAAACCTACCCATTATATGATAAATCACATTATTACCATATTACTTGCACAAGGAATATGTTTAATGATAGAACATAGCACATGCATAAAGTTAGAACATTTATAAGTTAAAATGTTCAATATGTTAAGATTATTGATATGTTTCAGACCCCAAGACTGTTGACAGTCATAAAGGTCCTGTAACATTTATTTGTGGACCACCACTTTTGCCATTAGCTGTTGCCACTGTAGATAGTGTAAGGGGTCTTGGAATAGTACCAGTTTCAAGAGTCAATCTCTGAGGATTCTGGTTTAGAATTGGTCCCCAGCAACTTTTGCTGGTCGTAGGCTGGAATAATGCTACGTTAAGCAACAAACAAACAAGTCAGTGGCTGTGCTGTAGTTGTATGTCTTTTAGTGTTAATTAGGATTCTTGTATCAAGTCCCTTTGTGCTTTAGAGTATGCCGACTGTGGGCCCTTGAAGTGGAAAAAATCAAGAAGACACGGCATGGCATGGTCTGGCACTACTTCAAGTGTCCCGAGTCGGAGCAGGGGACAGATTTGGATAGCCTTGTCAAGGAAATGGAGGCCTTTATCGAGGTATTGCATTTATAGGCTGATATTAACATAAAGAAATGTTTGTAAGTTAATTAACATGATTGAGAATTCACATTTTTCAAGGTTCAGTGCCTTAGTATGTTCAACTGAGTGTGAAGAAATTCCACTGGCTGTATCGCGCAAGAGAAAGATTTTTGCTGGGCCTATGAACCATGAATGTTTAATCATCAAATTAGTGGTGATGTTTTCTTCTGAATAGTGCATTAAAGTACACAGGTAATAATGGATTCATTAAGTCACCCATTTTGTTGTAGACTGGAGCAGCCTCCATATTATTAGTATAAAATGGCATGAACATGTTTTATTGTTTCACTGGTGTGTTCACATGTTAACAATGGTTTAGGTTAAAGTCCTTTGGTATTTGTTGGTTGGATTTTTTTTCTCTCAAAAAGTCAATTTAAAAACAGGGACAGCTGCGAGTCTAGTTGTGTGCTGGAGTACTGCATTATTCCGTCCCTGAGAAGGTGCAGGGAATGCTTTCCATGCATCTATCTTGCATCCTGCTTCACACTCTTCATTTTGAGAGCAGAAAAATGAAACAAATGGAGAAAATATCTGTGACTTTGCTTATTCTTTGAACGTTATGGGCTGGAGATCACTATTGTTCACAGTTGTGTTTAGTAGGGCTGGGACAAGTCCAAATTTACTACCCAGGTATCCGACCCCCTATTACCAGACCCTACCCGGATACCCATTGTAGGTCTCAAGAAATGGGAACAAAATGTCCGATTGGGATTGTTTCACCGCAGCGCTGGCAAGAACTATTTCGATACATGTATCAAACAATCAGATCATGTGTACACTGATGTTGACTGATGCTTTGCATTTACTCAAACATATACAAGTCCAATGGAAGGTGTGCATCATCAGAAAGAAATGCGAACATTAGCAACTTGTAGTGTAACCACTGAGCTATAGTGAGTTTTTGTCAGTAAACAATGTATCACGTGACTAACCAAGGGTCTGGGTAGTACTGTGGGTACACGGGTCATACTCAGGACCTACCCGACCCTAAAGTACTCATGGAAATGAAAAAAAAACTGTTTTGCTGGATTTAATAATCGACACAAAGCATGACGTAGATGTAAATACGAAATAACAAAACAACTGGAAAAGTACTAGTCTGGATTTGCTAGTTTTATCTCAGTGCTCAATACAAAATGTACTTTACAGGAGGAAATTTGTAGGCATAACATGGCAGAAACAGGCTATAGGCATTATGCAAATTAGCTTTGAAAAAAGTTATCAAAACAACAATAAAAATAACAGCTATGTTTACGTACATAATAATAATGACATGTAAGTTGTTGTTTGAGAAGGGAATATGTTACTTTTACGTTCTGATATTTTGACGATGATTCACTATCCCACAATGGCACTCACAAATCACTAACCACTGACAAATCACATGCACGTGGGTTTCAAGCACCTGTTTTCACCTGTCGTCAAGGTGTCATAGGTCATGGACATTCACCTTGATCATAGAACACCTGGTTATGCTCAGTTTCACAATAGTCTGTTTTGTTCATATTTTTACATACTTTACACGTGCAAAAAGACATAAAAACCTTTGATATGCTGTATTTGTGCCAAGGCCCAATTAGTACTAATTGAGTTGTTTGAATATTTATATATTTTGTATATTAACTGCATTTATTTAAAATCTGAGATCGAAAAAACAGGGTTTTTTTCATTTCCGTGAGTACTTTAGTACCCAAATTACCCATCCCAGCCCTAGTATTTAGAATGTGTAAAATTTGTTATTATTTCTCTCATATCTGTAGTCACAAGGTCAGTGGAAGCAGCATTTGGTATTTTGCTTGAAGGGGATGAAGATGCCATGTTCTGTTTGGTTTGCTTTCCCAAGTACATGAAGTAGAGATTGATCTGGGGAACAAGGAGTTGCCAGCACCTGTGTTGTTTGACGTTGTTGATTGTTGTGTAATCTAACCCTCACTCATGCTTTGTTCCAGAACCTGTACATCGAGCCCCATGTTTCATTCATCATGTGCTCGACAAATCTACATGAGGAAAAGATTGAACATCAGCGGAGCAGGAATGCGCGATCTGCTCGACGTCGTACAGCTAGGAATAAGACTGAAAACTTAAATGTTAACAGTTTCTTGGTGAAACTGCTGCCATCAAAGTGCAATGTTACTGCAATTACAGCTGATGGCATCGTTGGTAAGATATTTACTGGACCTATGAATGTGTATGAATATTTTTCTTAATGTAGAGGAGCACAGACAACACATTTGTCGCTGGTCCTGAATATGTTTCTAGGTTTGTCAGCACCAGGCTCCTCCTCGTCAATCTCATTAAAATCAGACCTTAGTTCTCGCTACCACTTAACAAAGATCTGAAGACATCCCATTAGGGGTCACGTCAGAATGACCTTTCATCCGACCAATCAGAGCATCGCTTACCAGATCATGAAAGTGACAGTCGGAATGTGATTTCTAATCATGCAACCTCGAAAACTTTAACACAGGGTATTCCGAACGATAGTTACAGGTTTAACAACTGATTCCATACAATCTAGACCATCTAATAGCCATTCCAGAATGTTCTTTTGTTGAGGTTTCAAATTTGTAATCAAGAATTTGTCAAAATATGTTTCGAAGCGTAGTCGCCAATTTGAAATTAGTGCCATAAAGCTCGAGAAAGCTGCCTTCTGATTGGTCATTCTATTGGTCGGTCAAAGTTCGCGCAAGGTCGGTCTGACGTGACCTGTAATGGGATGTCCTCAGATCCTTGTTTAGCGGTAGCGAGAACTAAGGTGGGATTTTAATGAGATTGCCTCCTCGTGGGTTTCACCAATGTGGCAAACATAGAAGAATAGCATCACTTCTGGCTTTCCTCCACATCATCATACACTATATAACAGGAATACTGTTCATTGTGGTGTTCAAAAGCAAGCTAAATTGTTAACAATGAGAACTTCAGCATGTGACATGAATGTCATATCATGTTTTTAGTTTGATTAATATTCAGCAGAACACCCTCAGTGTGCTTGATTTGTATCTACATCCTTTGAACCAGGTACTCCAGTTGTCGTGAAGTATTTGATGTCATCTGTCAGCTGTTTGATTAGATAGCTGTACGGAACAATAGGCTTAAAAAAAATAATAGAAGTGGTTCTCAGGCAATGGCTTTTGAAAATATAGTGTGGGCAGGCAGATTGTTTTTTTGTTTTTTTGTTGTTGTTCAAATATACAGTTGTGTACAATCAGCCTGGGAAAGGCCCTCCCTACATTATTGTATTTCTTGATGAGTAAAATACTGAAACACAGTATTTGACTACCGTTGGACTTGGAATATTTAAGGATTTTTTGGTTTTGGTTTTAAAATGGAAATAAAAACAAAATGTACAGCAAACTTTATGATGATGTGGGCGGTGCCTGAGAACCAAGACTATCCAGCTAATGCCAACTGTTCCAAAATATATACTTGGTTACAATCTAGGATGTCTAATCTAACAGTTTGATCCTCAGTGGACTTTTAAATACAGAGGAATCTGCCTAAACCAGATTTCTTTGGGATGGAAATGTAAGTTTGGTTCAGACTGAGGTCTGGATTGGTGATATTATGGCAGGAGACAAACAAATAAGAAATATAGATGAGGTTGCATTTTTTTCATTATCAAAGTATTTTAGGGACGTAGCTGTAGTTTGGTATTGACAGAATCTGGATTAATCAGAGTCTGATTTTGACAGATTCCACTGGATTACAATAACAGCAATATATTTCTTGAGTGTAATTATTCCTGCAACAACAGGAAGTATTAACAAGTAATGTACCTGTTTGTGTCCTGAAGGTACAAGCTCGGACATGAGAGTCACGGAGGAGATGGAAGGGAAACGATGTCTGTCTCTCGTTGTGTTCTCCCAGTTCAACAACATCAGAATCCAATCAATCTATTATGATCAAGATGAAGGAAACAAGATCGCTAACTGCTGGTCAAGTCGAACAGACTTCAATAACATTGACAAAAGGGTTTCTGATGATGAACAAGTGAAAGGCATCATCTTCCTCTCGGATGAAGCATTTTGTCCACAAGAAATTGGCTTTTCTTTGTACAAGATCTACAAGTGTCCTATGATAGCTGGTGGATTTGTTGACAATGTTGTGTGTCCGTCGTCTTGGTTTAATGATAATTCGTAAGTAACATTTTTGTTGGTTGGTTCTTTGTTAACGCCACACTCAGCAATATTCCAGCTATATGACGGCGGTCTGTAAATAATCGTGTCTGGACCAGACCACCCAGTGATTGATGTCATGAGCATCAATTCACGCATTTGGGATCCATGACATGCATCAACCAAGTCAGCAAGCCTGACCACCTGATCCCGTTAGTCACCTTGTACGACAAGCATAGTCGCCTTTTACGGCAAGCATATGTTGCTGAAGACCTATTCTACCCCGGATCTTCATGGGTCCATTTTGATTTGGTTCAGGTGCAATTATTTATGGTTACAGTATAGGTCGCATGAATAGGCGACTAACTTGGATCAACTGATTGTGTGTCACCAAATGTCTTTTGTCGTTGCTCATGTCATTTTCCTGTGGTTCAGACTTGATTATTTACAGTCCACCATTTTGTGAGATTGCCAAACAGCAGTCCCTTACAATTACGGTTGGATAAGATAATTTTCAATAAGCGCTTTCTCTAATAACATGAAGCCAAACCCAAGTAGAACATATTGAAGGCACTCCAAACAACATCTTGACTATTACTGGAAATTCATCCAAACAACACTATTTACACAGTGGTAAAGGGACATAACTCTTGAAATCTTAGGTCATCTGCATAAACTTGTCATATACTGCTCTTAAGTGAGTGGGTAAATCTAGTTTGTAAATATTAAATAAGATATCAGATTGGTTGTTCATAGATTCTGGTGCAGAATACTGGTCCCCAAGCCTGTTTCAACTTGTTCAAAAGCCAACTAAAATTGGGATCATTTATACAATGTGATATGATTTACTGTGTCATTGTGTCTGACCCTGCGAATCATTGTTCATGCTATCATCTATTGGTTTGTAGGATTGATTCTGTACAGACTGACATGATGTAGCTGAATATTGATGTCTACAGCATGACACTCACTCATTCATGGTAAACAACGATTAACCTTGATTGCAGGCGTGACTCCCCGTTCCTGTGCTGCATGGCTTTCTGTGGGAGAGTGCAGGTTGCCTCAGTGGTCCTTAAGGACGACGTAAAGACAACAGAGGGTGTGGACAGAATCATCAAGAAACTGAAAGACAGTAAACTCCCTGAGAAGAACAGTATTGGGTTGATGTTTGCTTGTGTGGGGCGGGGAGAGAACCACTATGGGGAGATCAATGTGGAGTCAACCGTGTTTCGAAAGTACTTTCCCAACACGCCACTGGTGGGCTTCTTTGGCAATGGTGAAGTGGGCTTTGAGTATCCTCATGTGAAGCCAGCAGATGTGCAGGACTGTAGTGCAAAGGACGAGGATGGGAGGAGTAATCACAAGTTCGTACAGGAGCAGTCTTCGTACATAGCTTCACACCCTCCCAAGATGTACCATGCATACACAACAATCATGTCATTGTTTTCATTTCAGTGATTTCAGCCTTCTGTGATTTGAAGTGAATGTGGGGTAGTAAGGCATATTAATTATCATACATGCGAGCAGTTTTGATGATAATTCTATCCATATTAGCTATGATTATCATTATCATACATAGTGGATCTGCAGCTGTGTACTGTTGCACATGCTGATGTTTTACAATGTAAAACAAGTGTGAAATGTGCCTCAATCTGATTGGTTGAAACATGGTTATTGGTTAACGGGACTTCAAAGCCTTGAACGTGACCAGATTAATAAGTGTAAAAATACCTGTTGTGCCATACAAAAGATTTTCTGAAAATTGTGCCAACATGGTAACTGACAGGGTGACATGACCTGCAAAATGACCATTACGTCACCATGTTTCTTTGCATAGTCATCCATTCCTTGATATTACTGCATTTTACAAGGTAACATTTCTTTTCATACAATTTTAATGTTTTGAATGGTGCCTAAGGTGATGCAATTCGCTGTGCAGAGTTGCATCCCTTGGGCACACCAGAAACCTATGATTGTGGGTTGAATCCTGGTTCACCCTATTAGTTTTAGGTTTGTCAGCACCATACCGATGCTCGTGGGTTTCACCAAAGTGGTAAACGTCGGAACCCCATCAAAGACCTAGATTACTTCAAACTTTCCTCCCACATGAAGCTGAAACTCTGTCATATAACTGAAATACTCTTAATAGCGACACTAAACTCATATCCTCACTCCATGCATTTATGTCGGCTCCACATCATAATGAGTAACTAAACTTGAAATTTCGTAATTCAGTCATTATTGAATTAAATAAAAATAAATAAATCAAAATCAATGAGTGAAATTAACATGATTAATATCAATCATATATATATTTCACTTGAGGGATGACAAGTATTAAAACTAATAGTTGCAAGGAACCAGACAAGCAGTTTAAAATGGAGGCTGGTGAAGGATTGTGTATGAGCCAAAAAACCTCTTCTTGCCGTCCCCTTCCACGTTGCTGTAATTATGCTAAATGGTTTTCCTGATGTAGAACATCACTATGACAGTTATTTAGAAAGTATGGCTATTTCTCATATTGGTGCTACAGATGGATACATTCTTATCCATTGACTGTAACCCAGCAGTCTGCACAATTATCAATTTGTTACTGTGATTGATAGATATCAAATAATCTACCAGACTATTGCCAAGCATGCATGAATCAACATAACCACAGTATTGTGTAGGAGTTACAATACCAGGGCTGGCTAAAAAGATCCATAATCAGAATTATCGTTTATGGGAAGAGCTATTAATGATTTTCGATATGAAATTGTCATTGATAATAGCTTACATAAACTATCATGAACTATTGTGATGAAATAAAGTTTAGATTTACTGAAACAGACTTGTTATTGTCAAAAATGTCAATTGTCAAAGACAGAAAGCAACTGTTTTTGTTATATCTCAAATGTTCACAAAAATATGTGTCACTGCTCAGAAGTGGCGTGAAATATGTTGATTTCTTTTGTGACTTTCTTGCATATTTGCTTAAAGTTACTTCTCAGATATTTATTGATAATTGATCAATATTTAGTTAGCGATTATCGATCTCTATAATCTAAATCTATGGCCCGCCCTATACCAATACAATACATTTATTTTGGGCATGTATCACAATCAATGATAACCATGTATCGTGACACCCCTGCTCTAATGATTCCTTATTTGGTTATTGTCTATGCTTATGAGTCTACTCTTAATTATGTTGATGTAGCTTGCATGGAAGGATGCCTCAAAGCAAAAATGTATGATGATGATTATGATTATGATTGATGATTGATGATGATGAAAATATTTGAAATCCATTTTCCTCCAGATAGCTATTACTATATTGCTTTCTAACATTGAATTTCTCTAAGATGCAGTTCCAGCTCTGAAATGGCTGAGGAATCTAAACTTTTACATGTATATTTCTCCTCATGACGGCATCATATTTTGTTGAAATCATAAGCATTGTCATGTTATTTTTTCATGTTTTCCTCTGTATTTGTGCAGATAAAAATAATTGAATATCAATACATAATCTGTTGACTACATATCCAGGTGAGCTACAGTGTTGTGTCACTATAGTTTTCCCCTGAAATTTCATACTTTACCTTTTGCAGGTTAAACTACATGTACCTCAAAGTCTAAACATGATTTTTTGGGTAGAGGTGAGGCGTGTGTTTTTAGCTGCATGTACTAATATAAGGGTAATGCTATTTTTCAGGGCATTATCATTGGCAGAAGCCTGAGGTCTTCCATTAACTGCCCGAGGAAGGACGGCAGTTGTAAAGATCAAGGGCTTCTGCAAATGATAATGCCCTGAAAAATAGCATCACCGTTATTATAGCTAAAATGGAAGGAATTTGTTATAAAGTAAAAAAGAAACAACAAGATCGGTTTTGAAACATTTACTGCAATCAACACAAATGACACTGACCCACTTTTACAAATATGGAAACGTCATAGAACAAACCAGATGACGTCACTATTGAACGTGACGTCACCTATCCCTACCCTATGACGTCACCTAACAACAGGCTTGATAATGGCCCGTCGTCAAGCAATATGAGGGCATTATCAAGTTACAGTGGCCCGCTGAGTTCTGATAATTCTATCCATTTTAGCTATGATGCCGGTTTTATGGTGGGGTCATGCCCACTGAGATACATGTACCATGCTACAGTGTTAACACAATACTGACTACAGACTCCTTGTTTCCCTGCCTGCAGCTCAACATTAAGGGTATCAAACAAGTACCATCTTTTTGTATGAAACAGCCGGCAATCGAACCACAGACCTTCTGCTCTCCAGGCAGACGCTATCCACAAGACCATCTTTTGGGGTTAGATTAGGTCCCCGCACACTATTGGCCTATGTAAGCAGGGACTCAATGATTACAGTAATACATAAGTTAATTCTGTTAAGTTGCCATTGTTGGTATGACTACTCTTTGCTATGCCTTGCTTTATATTAGTCATTTGAGTTGTGAAAAGTAAATAATGCTGTATGTAGTTTTTTACAGTACCTGTACATACGCGAATATTGAATGCATAATGTACACCTTACAGGAATAAACCTGTTGCTTTCAGATATTTAGTGCTTAAATTGATATTATTTCACACAGGCAAGAGATTGACAGAACACCAGGTACTTGTTTAAACTTTATTGCAGATTTGTAGTTGTGAGTCGTACATTCACCCTGTTTGAGAACCAGTTGCAGTATATTGTCAACAACCCACTGCTGGGGGCATAACTTGGTAAGCGGTAACAGATTGCACTAAGATGTCAACACCGTTGTGTCAAAGCAGTAAACACAGATAACATGTACATAACCATCACCTGGATAGTTGACATACAACTGGACATTCCCTCACCTTGTTGCACAACACATCTGGGTGCAGTTGTACAGAGCAATCTTTGCGCTAAGGTGGTCATAACTCCCATACCTTAACATAGACTTACGACAGTCGTAGCGCTGAGGTTGTTTTGTACAATGGCGCCCAGGCACGGGTCATTTCACCTTCAGAGGGGGCATGGGCTGAGACGCTGGAGAAGTTTCCCAAATAAATAATCTTCCATGTCTATAATTTTCAATTCACTTTCTAATAAATTAATAAATAAATTAGAAATTTCTGTCATTTCCTGAAGGTAAAGATAGAACTCAAATGAAAATACCAGAACCCTCATGAACGTGATGTGACATTATCTCTGTTGGTGAACTGTTACGGAAGATCAGGCCAATTATGAAGGAAACCTATTTATGCTGGAAGCAATTTTACACTCTGAAAAAATTGCACTTTCAAATAACCAAAATTTGAATGGTTTCACACAGACAATATCAGAGAAATATTAAATCTTATCTATGCTGAAACTCAACATACTGTCCTTGTGCAACAAGCACATGAAATGACAATTCTTTATATGTTCCCTTCCAAAACAAACTGTCCATTCCTTAAGGAATGAAAGGCTGCTCTGAAATATATGATATATTATATTATATACCTTGTTACAGGTACATCATTATTATTTGAGTTTTTCCAAACTCAAAGTCCTAGATTATTCAAAATTACAAGCTATGATCAAAATTGCATTTTCAAAGTAGCAGTGAATAATTCTAACAAATTAATGAAACGGATGAAAATTAATCATTCAGAGTCTATGAAGAAACCACTCATAGCATGGTACGGATGACTGAACTTGTAACAGATAACTGTAACTGAGAATCTGACCACGAACCTCCGGCATCAGATCACTGGTATTCATGGAGATGGCAAGGCAAGCTAGGGTGTGCCTAACTGGCTGATACACAAAAAGTGTCATAACAAAAACAATCGGTAGTTCAACAGCATATGACAACAGGAGTAGAAGAGTGACCAATCTCATAATGTACATGTTGAATGTATGTTACAGAACAGACTGCTGCAGTGTCATCCAGTATCACAAAATAGTCTATCTGTGAGGACATATTGCTAATTACATTATGTACAGGACTAATTTACATGTGCAAAGCATAATTGCATGATCGATATTGACTATGATAAATGTCTGTCACCATTATGAAAGTCTTTCAAAGCAGGAGTAAAGTGAGATCTTGAAACATTTTGTATGCTGAAAAATGGCAACATTTCCTTCAAAGTGATGCAAAGTTTCTAATACAATTTTCTTTTCTTTTTAACTATTCACTAATATTGTAAATTAAATGTACCTTAAAGAGAAGTGATGAAATCAAAAGATCTTCAAAGAACAAAAAAGCTTGCTACAAGCCCATGACTTTATCACAATGTAGCTGAAGAGATTGCTGAAGTGATTAAATATTAACTAACTCACAAGGTCATGCCACTAATCTAATGGCTATTAAGGGAATTTGAGTTATATCTAAACAAACTAATTGAATAATACAGTTAACAATACGAAGGTAGGTTTGGCTGTTGCATGAAGAGCAGGTGTCATCCATTAGGATGTGCCATTCATCAAGAATACATCTAGAAGACAATATCATGCCCATCTGACTTCAGTTATCTAAATAATACAGACTCTCAGAACCTAGTTCCGTATCTCAAGACAATAACTCTAAGGTGATCAATCCTGGTAGCACAAACACTATTCATAACGCTGCATTGTTGGTAAGAGACTCTGTAGAAGTATTGCATAGGTAAGGTCCAAACCTCACTGGACTAGAGTTCTTTTCTATGGCAGACATTGTCTGGTTCTCAGGAACCGCAAGCAGCAAATTCCCCCTCACCACAAACACAGTAAAGTCTTAAGAAACCAATTCTCATCCTTATATCACAAAGGATCTTTATAAGAATTTGAGGACAATATTCTTGATTATTAATTAACTTGCTGGAATATGACAGTGATAAAAATGAGTGTCATGCAGCTTAAAGGAGAAGCGGTCTGGGTAAATTAACCTATCGCCAGATATGAGTTAACCATGCCCTTGACTATCAGGCAATAATTAGTCATCCACAGATTTTTTTTAAAACAAAATGACAATGTCCCAATTTCACAAATGAAACATATTACAAGGTCTAAGCCTTCCTTTTAAAAGGGGCCCAAACATTGGGTATAGTCTCGCTTTAATAAAGAAAAATAAACATTAAACAAAAAACATCATGTAATATATCACCATATGTATAAAGTGTTTCTGCTCGGCTGGGCATGCATGATATGAGAAGCAGAACAGAAATGCTTCTGACACTGTTAGGAATGGGAGTTGAGACATGAGAAAATATGTGAACTTTGCAGCTGTGGCTACTAATTGAGACAGTGGAGATAAGCAAGTTGCTAAAGCAAACAGCACTACCAATATATGACATGAATTGCAGGAATAAATGTGGCACAATTAGGAGATAAACCTAGTGTGTTTTGAAATTTGATGTAGTCCCACTGTAGAGTACATACTTCATATTTTAATTTGGAACCGAGCGCTTCAGCTCGAGGTTACAAATTCTGATTCACCAAACTAAGTATGACATGTTTTTCTTGTTTCATAGGGGGTAAACAATGTCTTATCAAATGCTCTTGAACAGTTTCTACCTGTCTAAATGCAAATAATGTACCATATTTGACCAATTTAGAATCTTGCCATCCTGAAGAGAACCCCAATTGCAAAGGCAGAGGAAGGTATGATAAGAACCATATTTGGCCTGCAGATCTGAATAAACCGAGCATTTGTTATAGTAACAGTTATGAAAGTTATAAGACACTTCAATTCAAGTAAAAATTAGACTTTGTTTATTTCAAAACTTCTGTTGTGGATTTTTATAACCCAAACTCTATAACATGAAGATAAAATGTGTCAAAAAGGTTGATGTTTCCAGAAACCTGTTACAAATACCGGGGTATTTAAAAATGAATACCGTAATAAGCGCCCCGCTCTAATAAGCGCCCACGGCGATATTTGCTAATATACTGGCTAGTGAAATATCCCAATTAGCACCCCTTCTGATTGATAAATGTACACAAGGCTATTTATTCGTTCATAATACGTTTGTTATATGCACCCTTAATTATGGGCAATTAAATTCTGGAAAAATATATCTGTCGTTTATAAACATTTCAGCATAAACCACGAAATTTACGCTCTTTGAACTCCGTTGTTTTTCATCAAAATAACATTCTAATAAGAGCCCCCTATTTCTAATTTTGAGAGCGCCCTGGGCGCTTATTATGTCGAATACGGTAAGTCTTAACTATTGTGTGTCTTAGGTGATGAAGGTTAAGACAGAACAACATGGTGAAATTTTAAAAATATCAGATATATATATCCTACTAAAGCCACGAATGTACTTCTGTGCCATCTCATGTTTCGAGTACAAAAAGGCTCACATGAACTTGTCCGCTCATATTTATAACAATATATGAAAGTTCTTGCTTCAGTATTTGACATTCCTAGTGGGCCAAAACATGCCTTTATTATACCTTGTCCTTTAAGTCATGATGAGATATGAATCTGAAATAGATGTTAATAAATGTGCTGATGAGGTCACAAGTATCCCTTGCCTTACAACTTACATACAGTATGCAGAATACATAGGTCGAATATGGTAGTTAGGACTGCATTAGAAACACAAGACACCAAAACTGACAGGATAATTTGATCAACAGCTGAGCACCAGAAAAAGACCTTTGCACAAAAGACAGTGTATAAGTATAAACCAAGTGGACAACAAAACGGGTAAATAATTAACAAGATGTAAAATGTTTGACAAAGTGACCACTTTCCGAAACAAGGTCATGTATTCCTCTTTCACCTAAACCATAATTACAAACAGATTTGGGGGAAATCGGATAAGATAGTTATGAAGTTGCATAAATGCAATTAATTCAGTGTTAATAATTCATAAAGATGACAGCATTTTTACCTGGCTTACAGATTCACCAACCCATGACTTCTCATAATCTTTTCCTCTTGCCTCTGAATCAATTTCCATGATGAAATACAATATAAAAAGATCAATATGAGAAGAGAAATTAGACTTTATATTTATTTTCATAAGGGTTGTCAGAATGACTCTAGTTTTGCAAGATCAATTAGAAAATATAACAAGTTTCTTCAATTTCAATATTTCCTAACACAGCCCAGTTTGTGGGGAAATAAAAGTATTAACGTTTATAATGTCAGGGTATGAAACTCCCAAAAATTTCAGCCAGACCACAGGACTGGCTAGCTGAAATACTTGCCAGCCCTGACGAAAACCTGCCTGCCCACTATAACTTATGTTTCTCAGGATAAGCTAACGGGTTTTCTTTTTGGTTACATTTTATCATTCATCTTTACATGTGAATTAATGATTATCGACGGACGTACGGACGTACGGACGTACGGACGTACGTACGGATGGTCGTGAATACTATATCCCCCGCTTCGCGCTTTCGCGCGGCGGGGGATAATCATCGGGAAATATTTAGAATATCGTCACATATGAAATACAACCCGACTGTCGGGCAGGGGGATTTGAAAATCTGGCAGCCCGAGTTGAAATCAACCCGTCTCGGACGGTCAGGCAGGCAGGTATTTCGAACACTGATAATGTAGATGTTAATAGGTCTGATGAAAACGACAAGCAGGTCTGCATACCTTTCTGCGCACAAATGCTTGTTGTGTTTACTACATTTTGTAAATGGACCTCATGCAGTGCTTATAGATAGGAACAGTACTTGGACCCTGGCCATACCACCCACCCTTGGTGAGACTGCCGAAGGTGATCCTGGAATACATAACCCTGATTCTTTAAAGCAAAAGCTGATATGGAACATATCACGTAGCAAGAACAAAAACAGGCAACCTCAAATAAGAGCAATATATTATCGCAAGTATGGAATATTTGAAATATAAATACATGGCCGTGATTGATGTAGACATAGTTATCTATGGAACATGATGTATATAACATTTATACATGATGTGTTGCATATGTTAAAATGAAAGACAATCCACCATGGCAGGTTAACCCTCGTCACAATGACACACTACTTCCACAATGAAAGTCTTGCATTCTGAAATTAGACATCATACAGTGAAACCCAATCACATGTGTGGTGCTTGAAACAAACTGGACCCTAAGCACTATGATTTGTGATTATTTTTTAAGATAGAAAGTAAACCCTTTACCACTTGCATCTAGCAATGGTACCACAACAAAGGAAATAACATTGTGAACCAGCTTTACACTACCAATATTCCACATTACTTGACATGCCAAAGGCAGCTTTTCTGAATGTAACCTTATTGCACATTTATCGCTTATTATATTCATCAATTGAAGGATTATCATTTCTCGGTCTAGTAACTATTGAAATCATGAGGTCCTGTAAGGAGTATCAAGATCAAATTTGCCTTTCTATTTTTAGAGAAGGTTAAGGGGAAAACAGTTAGTGAATACTCGGTTGACAAGTTATGATATTGCTATAAAAATAACGTTCCTAATTATAAGGTAGATTACTTATCCTATGCAGCATCTTGTATCTAATGGAGAGAATGTGTAAAGAACTAGCACCACACTTCATTCTGACCTATGATAAAACGAAGTCGTCTACTAATATTCACAAATCAAACACAAAAAGACGTACCTGTCTTCGTGTTGTGATAGTTCAATACAATCAAGACCTCTATGTAAATGTAAACCACACAAAATAATAACATCTTTAAACAACAATATAACAACTTAACATTGGACCCCATTTACTATAAACTCTATAACCTGCGTCCCGATACCAATTTCCAAACAATCCCTCATTAATATTACCAAACACATTTCACCACGAGCCATCATGATTTATCATGCCATAAATACAACCATAATGTCAACGAATGATCGGATACCTAATGATATGGGACTCAACCTAAACAGAAAAGTCAATTTAAAATCATTCTAAAATTAACTCAGTACAAGATTGCCGATCACCACAAACATCCAGCACAAGGATGATCAACAAGTATTCTTGTTTTGAACATAAACACAGGGAAGATACATTATCATTACTTGCATCTTCTTTATTTATTCAATAATTTCCTCAAGTTTGGAGAAATCATAAAAGTCTCCGAGTTGCGAACTTTTGTCCTCTGCTAACATGGATTTTGTTATAAGGGTATTCAAAGACTCTAAAATCATGAAGAACAATTCTTATCGATGGAAATCTCTAATGATGGAAGAAATATGGTTCAATACAAACAGCTTGTTAGCACTGGTTTCAGCACAAAGTATAACTTGGCATAATGATGTTGGTCAATAATACAAATTCCAAAATCATATTAAAGGAGACCATTCCATCAACTTAAACTGATAACCCTTAATTTTGTTTAAAACAATTAAATCAGTTGGAATGAAAAAGATAATCTAAATTTTGAGCCAAAAGATCAACTCCTGACATATTTTGTAAAACATTAATTAAAACAAGGCACAAAAACTGACAACACAGAGAGAGAAATAATCTTACACAAACTTCACGTTTCAATTAAATATTTTTCTATGTACAATGTTTAGAAAATAAGATAAAACACAAAAGCAAACCCATATTTCTGTTGAAATGATGGATCAACACAACCGTTTTCAAAATGCAGTCATACACTGAGTGAATGTCTCCATGACATGCATGGCAGCATCCTACATACACAAGCACTCGTTGATGGCCACACCACCTACTTCCAGCAAGTCATCTCAGTCACACAAACTTAGCATCACCAACACCTTCCTTGAGAATGAATAAATAAAATAGTAATCAAATCAGTGCAGTACTATATGTCTATGTACAGATCTGATACCCACAGGCATTGTTCATGTTCTTATTACAAACATTATGTTCATCACATCATTTGGTATGCAGATAGTCTTAGTGGCCCAACAATACACCTGTATCATATAGAATGGTACAATACATTAGCTTAGTGGCCCAACAATACACCTGTATCATATAGAATGGTCCAATACATTAGCCTTAAAAGAATAAAAGAATTGGTTCTCAGGCAATGACTTTTGAAAACAGAGCGTGTGTGCGGTGTTCAAACTAGTATGTAACCAAATAAACAGTGGTGTTACCAAATAAACAGTGGTGTAACCAAATAAACAGTGGTGTAACCAAATAAACAGTCTTGTACAATCAACCTGGGAGAGGGCCTCCCACATAAATGATTTCCTTGATGAGTAAAATACTGGAATACAGTATTTGACTACTATTGGACTTGGAATATTTAAGGATTCTTGTGGGTTTTTTCAAATACTGGAAATAAAAACTAAACGTGCGCGAACTTTATAATGATGCGGCGGTGCCTGAGAACCAATACTATTTTTTTTTTAGGCTTAACTTAAAAGGGCTGTTTCATGCAACGGTGCCTATTAAGGAAAATCCAAAGTCAACAATGTCTGAAAAGTCCATAAAAGAAGGCTCTACATACTGACTGTGTTGAAGGTTGAAACAAAATTGGTTAAATGATTTTATTTCTTGCATACGGATTGACATTGCGCGTTTTCTTGACAACTAATTTAAAATAGACCTGGAAGCTATTGATTTTCAAAAAGTCTGAGGTTTAAGTCTACTTCAACAGACACATCATGTTACAGATTTTGGTTGAACAGACATGTCTTGTAGTGAATCATTAATGTACTCCCTTTGACTCATGAAGACAGTATGAGGAAATAATATATTGAAATGCTTTTCCCTTTGATATATAGATACTGTAACCCTAAAGTTACATATGGATTATAATGTGCACCCCTTGTATTGTCACATCTACAATATGTTTTATACATCTACATGTTTCTAAATATATTTTTGGCATGTGGATTTCATAGTTTGCACCATCATCTTGTGTTTTTCAGGTGTTTTTTTATGCATCAACATGTTGTTTCTTTTGGTCCATGCTAGTTTGCATCATATGAATAATAAATACAACATATTTTACCATAAAACATTTTGTCTCATTTGAATACGAATTTAAGATAATGATCATTGGTCTTTTTTTGTTTCACATTGTAAATGGGTCATTTCAATACACTTGTCATAATAATCAGATCATTTTCTTCTCAATTTTTTTTTTATTATGCTTCTTTCTAAACACAACAATATGCAATGACGTCTTTTCCCTCCAAAAAACACATGGGTTGGTCCAAGTCAACCGAAGCACTATAAATGCTATCTTGTCAATCATAACTATAAGCACACTTCCAAATAGGATGTCATGAGATTCATTGACTAAAATGCTGAACAGTACATGTATAAGAATATTTAATGGAGTATTCTAAAAATAAACAAACCTACAGTCTACTTGCTGTAAATGAGATTCGCCCCCAGCTGTTTAATTGCTTTTGTTACAATAAACCATAATGTAACTTGATTCCTAGACAGGTTTTCAAACAAAATAGATCTGAAAGCATCAAGTTGTAGGATTCCAAGGATCTCCCTTCTAGTTGGAAAAAACAGCCTATATTATCAACAATTGTATATCTCTGGCCGACAAGTCCTCCTGGTTTGTCACTTGTAACAAATCTTTTGACAACTTGCTTGTACTTGAGATCCTTGTACTTAGGCCCTTGTTGTACTTGAGAGCCTTGTACTTAGGCCCTTGTTGTACTTGAGAGCCTTGTACTAAGGCCCTTGTGGTACTTGAGAGCCTTGTACTTAGGCCCTTGTTGTACTTGAGAGCCTTGTACTAAGACCCTTGTGGTACTTGAGAGCCTTGTATTTAGGCCCTTCTTGAAAGCCTTGTACTTAGGCCCTTGTACTTGAGATCCTTGTACAAAGGCCCTTGATGTACTTGAGATCCTTGTACGTAGGCCCCTGTGGTACTTGAGAGCCTTGTACTAAGGCCCTTGTACTTGAGAGCCTTGTACTAAGGCCCTTGCGGTACTTGAGAGCCTTGTATTTAGGCCCTTGTTGTACTTGAGAGCCTTGTATTTAGGCCCTTCTTGAGAGCCTTGTAATTAGGCCCTTGTTGTACTTGAGATCCTTGTACTTGGGCCCTCTTGGTACTTAAGCCTTGTACTTAGGATCGTTGTTAAGATCTCCCTCCTAGTTGGATCAAACAGCCTATATTATCAACAATTGTATATCTCTGGCCGACAAGTCCTCCTGGTTTGTCACTTGTAACAAATCTTTTGACAACTTGCTTGTACTTGAGATCCTTGTACTTAGGCCCCTGTTGTACTTGAGATCCTTGTACTAAGGCCCTTGTTGTACTTGAGAGCCTTGTACTAAGGCCCTTGTGGTACTTGAGATCCTTGTACTTGAGAGCCTTGTACTTAGGCCCTTGTTGTACTTGAGAGCCTTGTACTTAAGCCTTGTACATAGGATCCTTGTACTTAGGCCCTTGATGTACTTGAGATCCTTGTACTTTGTCTCTTGTTGTACTTGAATCCCTTGTGCAAACAGTCAAACCAGATTATATTGCACTTACTGGATTAATGTCTACTTTGAATAAGTGCATAATCCTTGTATGTATACAAGCAGCCATGACAATTTAGTGTTAAATACCATAAATGCTTGGTTCCATATATCCCATATACAAATATAACATCAGTACTACAGTAATAACCTTGGCTCAAGAGTCCTAATCACATGTTCCATAGATGGTGTAAGTCGTGTATATCCAAACTCCTGCATAAGTTCCACTGGACCGAGATGTGGTTGGTGAATGTCACATATAGTAGCTCCATTGGCCTACATTGTCACCAGCTGTAAAAAGGTTCCTGTGTCAGGTAAATACCATGGCCCTGTAAGGCTGTGTACTATGAGTAGAATGTGAGAACACTGGTTTGATTGCCTCTAAGTAGAAGTATAGGCGGCATGTCCCTTGTGAGGGTGTCTATCCATGACATGTACAGCCCAGCAGAGCAGGTGCCCTTTCTCGGCATAGGCAGGGTCCTGGAACACAAAACCAGAGAAATTATTAAAAAAATATGTAATATGTTAATAATTAATCAATGTTATCATCCAGAAGAAAGAAAGAGATTATGAGACCGACAAACAATGAATTCATTAAAGTGCTGAGTCAATAGCATGCAAACAATAATTTATAGCAATATTACTTAGGATATATGTGGAGTTATGCGTCCCTCCCTTTTATACAACAAGCCTGAAGCGAGTGGCATAAAACCTAATGCAGTACACATTAGCTTGTGCGATGTCACGTGACTTTCATTGACAACTTGCAGGTTTTTGGTTCCTGGCAGGGTGCAATAGATTCATTGTCCCACTCAGAAATCCATGTGCAGCCTGTGTTCTTTGTGGCAGGATATAAGGGATTTATTCTCCAGCTCAGAAGATATTTCCCCCTCAGGCAGACTACATAGTATTTTATCAAGATCACATGAACCAATCAGATCCCAAGATTCTGACAATTTTCTAAGTGCCCAGGGGGTTATGTCTCTTAAATTATATAGAAATGTTGTTAACAGTCATTGCCTGTTGGAGCAGTTTCAGGAAAAATGGATTTCTCTGTACCAGTCTATGCAGATAGGATATCTTGTAATATCAGTAATCCTTGTCTACTTTCAATGGCAGTTTCAAGGTGCTATTCCATCAAAGGAATATGAATAAATAATATTGGCTTACATGACTATCAGGGATGCATCTCGTGATTTTTCTTGCATCAGCTCTCGAAGTCGAATGTGGCGATTTGTCTGTAACACATAAAGACATAAGTCATCTAGAGATGATATACCATCCCATTTCCTAGGAAGAGTGCTCCGACATAACATATGGTTAAGAAGGGAATGATGTGTCAAGTGCTAGGTGTTTGTTGTTTAACTCTGCACAGCAATATTCCAGCTGTATGATGGCGGTCTGTACATGATAGTCTAGACCAGAAAATCTAGTGATTAACATCATGAGCATTGATCTACACAACTGGGATACGATGACATGCATCAACCGAGTCAGCAAGCCTGAAAACCGATCCCGTTAGTCACCTCTTACGACACAGCATGGGTTGCTGAAAACAAATTCTAGCCCAGGTTTTCACGAGTGTCAAGTGCAAGTTGCTGCAGTAAAAGAGTGGCCCTCCCATTTTATTCCTGAATTAAAAATTTTTGTAGGACACCTAGGAGAATAAATTATGTTTTGGTATCGATACAAAGTAAACTTTTCTATCACAATATGGGTCTGTCGTGTATTGGTTCACGCCTGACAGGCAAGTCTTTAGGGATATAATGTAATGCAAAATGATATGAAATCTACACACATGCAAGAATATCTTCACATGGAACAACTCCTCTTGCAATGTTTCTGAAACAGAGCTGTGTTTACACACAACAGAACCAACCATCAACACAATGTGGTTAAATCATACCTTGTCTTTGAGCAACTCCATCTCATCCTGTGTGGTTTTCCAAGGGAACTTTTCCTCTGTCTCTCCTGCCTTGGTGTCCAGTACCCAGTCACTCACCAGATTCTTGAACTCCATCTGACTGGGAACACAAGACAAATAAGACCTCTCAATAGGTGACATCATGTTTATATCTCCCTGACTAAAGAGTCTACAACTATGTCTCTAGCACTTCTCAATACCTTTCGATCTCCTCCACATCGAATGTCTCCTGTAAGAAATGTCATATTAATACACCCTGAACAAATGTATTGTAACCTCCAGCATGGCGTAAAGAAGGCTGTGCTTCACGTTCCTGGACCAATTGCCAGTCTAGGTACAAAAGTTGAAGTTTGTAATTGAGTCCCTGTCTTTGAATACAGATAAGAATACTCATTAACTAAAAACTGATAAACATTATCAAATTTGAGATTACAGTAAACCAGGGTTATAACAAACTCGAAGGGACCACTAATTTTAGTTCGTAATAACCGTTGTTCATTATAAGCATATTTACAGCATTAAATGGTTGGGACTGAAAAATAAGTTTGTTATATCGGTCAGTTCATTATAAGCATGTTCGTTATAAATGTAGTTTACTGTAAATAAAATAATGTTTGGATTACACTTACTAGGACAGCCACATCGTACCAGCCTAGTGCCCATTGAATAGCCCAACAGTAGCTTAAATGAGCCAGGTTTTCGTGCTTGAACATGAAGTTTGTCTTTGCTGCCAAACTAGCTAAACTTGTGAATGTATAGTTATGTTTGCTAGCCTGACAGAAACAAGGCTGTCAGTGAAGGGCATGTTATTGTACCTACCTCTCTTCACAAGGAGCCTTGTTGACATCAGGTAACACAGTCATGTCCTTACACTCGATGCGGAACTTGGACAACAGGGTGGCCATCCTGAAACATCATTTCTATCAGTTGGATCCTAATACTAGGAACATTTCTCATTTCAATCAACATTCACAACAAGTATAATGTATTGCTGAAATCAATACAATCCTGGACCCAATTCCACAGGGAGATCTCATCATCATAACCGTCATAACTCCCCTATTTAACACAGACTACGAGTTGACAATAGCCACTGAATTAAGATTACTTCATGGTTCCCGAATCTCCCCACAGGACTCCTCAGCAGAAGAAACCAACATTTTTAGTCCACTAGTCCTTAGTGATAGCAAAACCCTAAAACCCCTTAAAAATGGCAAATTTTTACTAGTCCTTATGATACCTTAGCTGTTGGGCAGTTTGATAAGGACGACAAGACTAGTGCCAATTTCTAGCGCTGACTGGACTATATCTTACTGTCTCTGTTCCCTGTCCAGGTCGCCCTTCTTGGTGCCTGCAGTGAAGACCCTCAGTTTGCAGCCCCGCCAGTGAGCCTTGGTTGTCAGGATGTAGGGAATCAGTAGCGTCAGACCTGCACAGACAGCATCATGTCACAATGCACCACTAGACACTTGTACTACAATAACTAGATATGAGAACAGCAAAACTTTTTTTTGGCAGAACATCGCCAATCTTGGTGGGTTTGGGCATTAAGTGCATTTTACATAATTCTGAGAGGAATCCGAGGAAAATTATCATGCCTGAATAACAGCAAGATCTTGTGAATGTTTGAATCTATGAGGGATCCAGGGGTCCTTAAACTTGAGAGCAGTGTTCAAAATTAAGGGGGTCCTAGAACTATTACAGCATTTGAATCTAGGGACCCTCTAAAATCTTCAAATTGTAACATTAGGGTGAAGACAAGGACCCCTTGACTTACATGCTTAATGTCAAACACTGTGACAGCACTGTGAGAAACTGATGCAGGTTTAGCTGTCAGGATTAACCTATCAACAAATCCCTGGATTATTGAATCATAGGGATGGTAACTCTGCTGTATAGACATAACCAACAGCAATCATGTGGCAGGGCATGCTTTCAGTGATAACAGAACTTGACTGACTATATATAGTTTTGCTAACAACAATGAAGTCAAGATTGTCCAGACTTGTTGGCCATATCAACAGTAGACACGTGTTTGTTTGTTTATTGTTTAACGCTGCACTCAGCAATATTCCAGCTAAATGACGATGGTTTGGACCAGACAATCCAATGATTGACATCATAAGCATCGATCCATGCAATTGGGATACGATAACATGCATCAACCACGTCAGCGAGTCTGACCACCCCATCCCGTTAGTCGTTTCTTACAACAAGCATTATCGCATTTTACAACAAGCACGGGTTGCTGAAGACCTATTCAAAACTGGATCTTCACAGGTCCAGTAGATTTGTGTGTTCAGGGAACAGAATCATACAGGACACAAACTGTAACCACTGAATCTCATCAGTTGGAGGGAGAAGCATGGAGTATGGGACATATGGAGGAAGTCAAATAAGCTGACGTTTGTGATTTCAATATATACAGGTACTTTTTTCTGTAAACTAACTTCTACAAAATAAAAACAAACAACCATTTTTTTATCTTTTGCAATATTAACTGCTAAGCATACAAAGAGATCCATACTTACCACCATCATCAAACAACCACCAAACATCTATGGTCCCTTTCTTGGGGTGTCGCTTAAACATATTAATTCCTTTTAAGACTTCAATGTTCAGCTTTTCCCTTGATTTGCTAGGACCATTCTGTATGTCCCCAGGTACCAGGTTGGTAGACTTGGAAGGCATGGGAGTGTTGTTGTCAATCCTGTCATAGCTGCTGTGGAGGCGGTGAGGGGGTGTGTCATCCGGAGTTAAGTCGTCATCGCTTATTTCTAGAACAACAACACATAGTGGGGGTCAGTCAGACACCTTTATCACATCTCATACCCACTGATGGTTATCTCAGCTACACATACAAATATCAAAAAGACCAAGGAACTGTTACAGATCATAAGAATCATGCTTTCAAATAAATATACCACCATAAAAGATAACCTGTAATGGCAAAGATACTAAAGAATCCCCTTGCCAAAAGATCAACCAATTTATCTTAAAAACAACATAAAAGCAAAGGCTGGTTCAGCCTTTATGTGATAATGTTCATTTATCCAGGTTATTGTCATCATATACGACCGTCCGCTTGGCTCCTAATGAGAACGATGAATTGCAAAATGACTCAAAATCGGGGAAAATCTACAAAATGTCAATACGGTACATGGCAATGAATACTCTGTGCCCAACACTATCTGCTTTTTGTTATTTTTATTCCCATCAGTTGTAAAAGAAACTATCATGTTATGTGTAGAAATGTAAAATGTTGTAAAGTTGGTTGATGAATCCCTTGGTCAGGTAACACTAACAGTGAAGACATGGCAGCGTTGCATTATCAAGTCGTCAACGAGTCGAGATACTGGTCATGTGATGGACGTCAGCAAGCAAAAGTCCCACCAATAGTTGTGACCATCAGCAGTGACACCAGCAATATTCCAACAAGGCTGTGATAGGAGTCAGATAGCGATTAAAATAATCATGTGATGACCCCTCAGGGCTCTTTTGCTGTCATTCCCTGTTGCATTGTGTAGCATATGCATGTTTGCGCTGTTCCTCCTACCGTTGTGCTCCCCTCCGTTCAAGATGTCAACTTGTGCACAAAACATGACTTTACTTCAACAACTTTTTCCAGTGATGGGGAAAAAAAAATGACAAACAGCAGATAGGGTTGGGTATAGGGTATTCATTGTTGTGTACTGTATTGATCTTTAACAGACTACAAGGGGTATTCCAGATTTTGAGTTATTTTGAAATTCACCGTTCACATCTGGAGCCAAAGACTGTACAAGGGGTTTTATCTAATGTCTTACCAGTGTTGATTGCGAAAGAATAATTCACTATTTAAAAAGAAGACAAACATAAAAAACTTCAGATCAGTGACCCAAACATCGTCTAAGTGCACCTTAAGCCTTGACTTTTGTTATTTGTGCAGACTAAACACTGTTACCATAATCTCATGTGCAAGTGCTGTTAAGTTTTGAAAATTGCTAAATCATAAAACCATATGAGATTGTCCTTCTATGCAACACAGAAGTGCAGAGATGGCCATTCCAATTTTCTTAAAGTCAGATGAATTTGATGTATTAATTATATTTTTCTCCCACATATGTCTGCAAAAATAATACGAATTGAAACAGTTTCATTTAAAATATATTTGTGGTACCAGACTTAAGCTGCTTAATAGCAACAATAGAATTGTCTGACTGCTACTGGGGCTAGAACTCAACCAGAGAATTGTGTTCAGGGAATTATCAAAGTTTTCAATAGAGGTGTTGGTTGTGAATCTTGACTTGAATTAAGAAACAGCTTTACAACACATGACAAAAGTTACATGAAAATGGGTTGATAATTTACACTTTATATTCATGCCACATCACATGTCCTCCCTTTATTCTTGTTGTTATATGGATACATAGATACCTATATCATGTCACAAAATATTGCAATTCATCAAACCTTTAGTGATTACATAAACCCTAGAAGGAAGAGCTGCCATCTCTACATGTGACTGTTATGTGTCAGCCTTGAATACCTCGGCTGAGTCGTAGTGAGTGATACAACATCTATGTGAAGTAGGTGCAATACAATAATTATCCTGTGAACCACTTTTGTTTTCAGACTTAACATTTTATGCGGACTCGATCATGTAAGTGAACTGCTGAATTCAGAAACTTCAATACAAACTAAAGACATGTTGGTTGGTTTGTTGTTTAACGCCGCACTCAGCAATATTCCAGCTATATGGACCAAACAATCCAGTGATTGACAACATTAGCATCAATCCATGCAGTTGGGATACGATGACATCAACCATGTCAGCGAGCCTGACCACCCGATCCCGTGAGTCGCCTCTTACGAGAAGCATAGTCGTACAAACATTTGGTTTGTGTGTTTTTTAACACCGCACTCAGCAATATTCCAACCAAATGACATGTCTGAAAATTCAGATATTTTTCCTAAAAAAGCAAGACGATGCTTCATGATACCATGCCAGTGCCAAGAGCAAAATTAACCCGGTGTAAATCTTTTTTGTGTTTTGTTTGTTGTTTAACGCCGCACTCAGCAATATTCCAGCTGTATGACGCTTGTCTGTCAATTATCGAGTCTGGACCAAACAATCCAGTGATTGACATCATGAGCATCGATCCACGCAACTGGGATCAATGACATGCATCAAACAAGCCAGCGAGTCTGACCCCCCTGGGTAGTTTTAAGATGGTGTAGAGAACCCCACACCCCTCCCCAAAACAACAACCGAAAATTGTAATGTTTCGTAACTGATCCCTTTGCCTCAGAAATGTTTCAGATGGTCAGTATAGATACACAACCAACTGTTTGCTCAATTCCTGGATGCACAAGTTAGCATGTTCTATTGCAAGTTAAATACACGATGATGTCATACTGGGGTTATATTGATTGTCAGAAAGCTTCTTGCCTCAGGGAAAAAGAGACAGCCTCGTGGAAAGCAGGAGAGATTCTGTCAGTTTGTTGCTTAATATTCCAGCAGCCTGACAACAGTTAGGTCTGGACGACATAAACCAGTGAGTGACATTATGACAGGGTTGATGACACTACCAACCACAGAGAGAGAATCTGCACCATATCCTCTCCTGACACGGGTTCCTGGCAACTTATTCTACCACGGCTTCCCAATGGGGCCCTAGAGGAGTAACATGTCATCACCATCAAGGCAAAGGGAAGAAACATGTATTGTGTTGTATTGGTGATGTTTTATGCCTAGCCAACATATTGAGTCTAAAGTTTTGAAGTTTTGATAGTTACAGCTTTAGATAGAAAATACATCTATATTTACTCCATTGTGCTGCTCCAACTGAAATTCAACAGAAACATCATGCAGTTAGTTTTCATGGACAGAAAGATTTTGAGGAGGACATTAGCCAGTCAGTTTCATTGGCCGCTGACAGGACTAAATGGACCAGAATGAAACATATCCACAAATTCATGAATGGCGCAGTGAATGTTAACATAAATATTAATTTTATCTCGCTGATTTCATCAATAATAAATTGTGGAAACCAATATAATATCAACATTACTAATGCCCAAAGTGTGGACAACATGGCATGGACTTAACTCTGTAACACCCTGTGGTTTCTCAAGGTTTGTCCTACCATCTTGCTCCAATGATACACCAGAAGCACATCAACAACAACAGCAGTGGTAGGTGTAAAAGCTAGATAAGCTGTGCTCAGTCAGGTGCCTGACTTATCCCACATTTGCTGGCAATGTTGGCAAGTAAATGTGGGATAAGTCAGGCACCTGACTAGCCTCATGCTATAACTAATGCTCTTGTAACAATCAGTCACCCATTGTTATTGTATTAATTTTGTATCACAAAATATTTTAAACGATGGGAACCGAAGTATCACAGGTGTTACATATCACCACTGTGGAGAGACGTTATTCTACTTCTTCAGTGGGCAGAAGATAAAGCAGACATCTGACATAGACAAGAAGCGCAACATTGGTGCACCGGTGCATCGTGATATTTCATGCGCCAATATAATTTTCTTCTGTATCGATACAAGATTGGATTGGTTGGTTGGATTGTTGTTTAACGCCGCACTCAGCAATATTGCAGCTATATGACGGCGGTCTGTAAATAATCGAGTCTGGACCAGACATTCCAGTGATTAATATCATGAGCATCGATCCACGCAGTTTGGATCGATGACATGCATCAACCAAGTCAGCGAGCCTGACCACCTGATCCCGTTAGTCGCCTTTTACGAAAAGCATAGTCACCTTTTACGGCAAGTATAGGTTGCTGAAGACTTATTCTACCCTGGCATCTTCACGGGTCTATCGATACAAGACGCCATGCTTGCTGAAATACATTACTGTTAATTTAATGACACACGTAAATATGCATATCGAGATACATATCGTAGCCTTTGTACTGTGACACATATTGTATCGTGGCCTTGCTGTATCGTTTCAGCTCTACTCTGATACTATGTACCATTGCTGACAAGAGAGACCAGTTATAAAACAACAGAATTTGATAAAACACAAGTAATAATATGTGTTCATGTTCATCAACATAAAATTTTATAGAATCTGATTCGGTTAGTTTAGCTTCTTTAACAATTCCATTTACACCATAACTGATATTATCACTGACAAAATAACATTCAAGTATATGAAATTCATCAGTTATACACTTTCTTCTCAAGTGTATTCACTGGCAGAAGCATTGTATTAATAGCCTGAACGTGTCCTGCCACATCTTCTTCAGTATAGTTTATCTGAGGGCAGGTCATGTTTACCCTTTTCACGAACACCTGGTGTCATCACTGATTTTCAGCGATCCATTCATATCATTTTCACCACTGATTTGCCTTTTTCATCCTATGGAATCTGTTTTGGAGGATAATCAACACTGGCTTTGACGTTTCATAATTAGATATCTAAGTATGAGCTGTGTCATATGCAAGCTTACTAAATGCTTATTTGACCCAGGTTCTGACAAGTGACTAAAGTCACAGACTGTAAGAATGTGATAGTATCTACAGGTCTACTGACAGTCCACAGAGTTAATGTGATGCACAAATGTGTGTCCAGTATACAGAAATGAGTGCCCAGTACGCACAAATGTGTGTCCAGTATGCAGAAATGTGTGTCCAGTATGCAGACATGTGTGTCCAGTATGCAGAAATGTGTGTCCAGTACGCAGACATGTGTGTCCAGTATGCAGAAATGTGTGTCCAGTACGCAGAAATGTGTGTCCAGTATGCAGATATGTGTGTCCGATTTTCAAAACTGTGTGTCCAGTATGCAGAAATGTGTGTCCGGTATGCAAAAATGTGTGTCCAGTATGCAGAAATGTGTGTCCTGTATGCAGAAATGTGTGTGCAGTATGCAGAAATGTAGAGAATGGATGCAGAGAAAAACAAGTATTTGTCACAAAGTGACAAAATGTCCCCCGCCTGTATATACACCATAGTACCAAATATGAAGACAATCCAGTGATTAGTTCTTGAGATATCGCGACAACACCGTTTTCCAACTCCAAAAGCAGATTTGTCTGCTGTGACCTTGAAAATGGGGTCAAGGTCACCAAAACCGACTGGTGTCTGCGGAGTCTGTATATACACCATAGCTCCAAATATGAAGACAATCCAGTGTTTAGTTCTTGAGATATCGCGGCAACACCGTTTTCCAACCCCAAAAGCAGATTTGCCTGCTGTGACCTTGAAAATGGGGTCAAGGTCACCAAAACCGACTGGTGTCTGCGGAGTTTGTATATACACCATAGTTCCAAATATGAAGACAATCCAGTGTTTAGTTCTTGAGATATTGCAGTAACAAACAGGTGGGACGTACGGACGGACGGTCGTGAAAACTATATCCCCCGCTCCGCGCTTTCGCGCGGCCAGGGACAAAAAGATACTGCTTCCCGAGTAACACACAATAACTGTCATTGTACCTACAGTGCATCATGAGCAGTTACAGGTGTCTGTCATTTCATCCATCAATCATGATTCATTCATGCTCTAAAGTAATTATCTAAATGTACAGTAAACTACACCTTTTCATTACTTCACAGGACCCTCATTTTGCCTGCAAGGACCCTTAAAAATTAATTATTGGGGTCCCCCAGACCCTCACTTTTGTAAGACAAGATAAAAAACCCTGAGTCCATCAGTCAATACACCACTATTACCTTCATGACAGTAAGTGAGTGAGTTTGGTTTAATGCTTTTAACTTTTAACAGTATCACGGCGTGTCAGCTTAATCTTGGAGGAAAGCCCGAAGTGATGAAGGTCACAGACGTATACCACTTCGGTTAAACCCACCGGTATGGTGCTGAGAAACCTTGAAACATAATCAGCGCAATCATAAGTTTCTGGCGTGCCCAAGGGACGCAACTCTGCACAGCGAATCGCGGTGCCTTAAACGACTGGGCCACCTGTGTCCCCTGCTACCAGGACAAATGCCGAGCGATTTGCAACGCTATTTAGGGCTGGTGTGAAACAACAGATATGGCTGACATGATGAGAGGTGCAAATGTCAGAATGACAGTGTTGCTGGTGCTGCCTTACAAACTTGTCACTTGTAGTCAACAGTAAAATGTCAACAATGACAGCCACTTAAAAAAAACGCAGTCAGCATTGCTTTTCAAGTGTTTTCTGCCTAAATACTGCATCTTCCCGAGGCAAGAGAGTTAACTGACTATAAAAGTCCAGTTTCCACCCTTGCCGAACTAGGCTGGTATTATGGAGTTACATTTTGGCTGGACTAACGAGTCTATATATACATAGTCCAATCAAAATCGCGCACCAAAATTGAAATCCGGTTCGTAAACTGTGGTGCAGAACAAACAGCTGAGGTGTCTGAAAACTGAAAAGAACATGCAAACTGAAAAGATAATGCCAAGGATCAAGAAATGAAAATAAATAGGATGAAAAGGAAATGAAACATTAATCCAATTCTGCTTTGGAAATCCCCTCTCACTATAGATGACAAATCTCCCAAAACCAATTGAACAAATCAGACTTCACATTGGAGTTGTGAAAATAACTGGCAACACCTCGGGCTTCAATCAAACCATGACAGTAGGGCTGGGTTGAGTCCAAATTTACTACCATGGTCTGGGTAGTCCTGTGGGTACCCGGGTCCAACTCAGTACCCACCCGACCCCAGTACCTGAATTACCCGTCCCAGCTGTACATGATAGTAGCAGTCCACATTGCTGGGCTGATGGTTTCCAATATCCACATACTATTCACATGGTTCCTCATGTTAATATCATTAAAACTTTCATACTGTTTATACGCTGTTCACAGTATTTACTCTATTCATGCTGTTAAATCTATCAATGCTATTCATATTGTTCATTATTATCCCCCACCCAACAAAGTTGGCGGGGAATATAGAAACGGGCTCCGTCTGTCCGTCCGTCCGTCATGTTTCGTTTCCGGAGGTTCTGTGAGGTTAGGGTTCGTTTCCAGAGCATAACTCATAAACCGTTCAATATTTTTTCAAACTTTGCAGGTCTGTCAGGTACATGCTGAACTGGTACCTTTTCCTGTTAAGAAATTTTAGACATTTTTATTTTTTATGTTTCCATGGCAACAAGATGGACTTAGGTTCCAAACTCTTCTTTTTTTTAACAATTTCCATGACAAGTTCCATCACATTCATAAGTTTTACAAAAGTAATCAAGAATGGACACCTTATAATGTAGGGTTTTTTTCCATGGAAACAAAAGTGTATACATGATGCATTTACACATCTATGTCATCGGTTACATAGACGTTTCATACAAAATTCAATGTTCCAGGTCTAGATAGATGTAAATACAAATTTCTTCCAGCACTAAGTAGTAAGTAGTAAATAAACCCTTATAACATATCAGAACACCGGTGGAAAGTCATAAAAATTGAGTTTGACTGCATGGTCATTTGGACTTTCCAATCAATGTTTGATCATTCATTTATCGGACATGACTAATTCATACTGTTCTACTAATTCATACTACTAAGACTGTTTATTACAGTCACATTATTCACATTATTGCCATAGTCCACATTGTTAATGCTATACATACAACATATACAGCAACTGCTGTTGCCACCTGATCCCATTTTAGTCACCGCTTACAAGAATCAAATGGTCCCGAGAAATTCTGCGAAGTCCGGGAAACAAAGCATTGGATGTTTTACATAGGAAGTGTTCCCTCAAACAAAACAGGTATATTTTCAACCTCTCCTGTACATCTAACCTATTTGGCATCTTTCCACATTGTATATAATGATAATCAGATATCCAATCAAAATTCTTACAAAAGGATTTCAGTAACAAATTACGATTACTGTCTCCCAAAACATTTATCCGCTGGTGCAAAATGAGATTGCAGGTAGTTCCACACAGTGACAAACACTGACACAGAGCTGCCACATAAAACAAAGATGTTGAGATGACTGAGATGAAGTTACAACAGAGCTCCCAGATAACACATGCAAACAGGCAGATCGGGAGAGACAGAGGACAACATTGAAGGGCACACCAGCAGGTCATGTGACTTCATCTCACCTGGAGGTCGACGGGGGAAACTGAGAATGCCATCTACAAATTGGAGTTATTATTTGAAGGCAAATATCACACTAATATATCACATTCCATCTCGCTACACATGCCTCATAACATGGCAAAACTGCATCAGATATCAAGTAATAAATCAAGAAGCTAAATGTCAAATTCAAAATTTAAAAAAAAAACATGCTTGAAATTGAATCAAACCAACGTAACTTTCTTGCATGAGAACGCATTCCAGTCAAGGATTAATAGTAAAGCTTGGCAGAGGAGCTGACACAGATGTACTCACCATCTTCTGTCAAACCATCGGGCATGAATGTTGCATCCATGTCCACATCCAGACCAAAGCCTTCCTGCAGCCTCAACAGACCCACTCCATAATTCAGGTCGAAGGCATCACTGGAACACAACAGACATGCGTCACTGACGACAACAGTCAATTATACAGAATCACAAGTTGAATGTTGTCTTTGTGTTTTGTCCCATACATTGAATAATGTTTCAGTTGGAGAAAATAAATAATGATGAAAACTCAGAAAAGTGTTCAAAATGTGTACAATTTTTATTGTGCCTATTGGGTATTTGTTTATAGAACTTCTTGTGTTATTGTGTCCAAAGTTACTGTGTCTAGGGTCCCACAGCCAACACCAACAGTATTGGTTAAGCCAAAAGTTAACAGTATTATACACCATGAACACAAAATACAGATCAGGGCATTAACAAAAAAGAAATCCAAAACACATCTGTTAAGCTTTGAGTGGGGAGCCATATTGTAAATCTGGAAATTAATACGACTGCTGACCCCCTGCTAATATCAATGCGACCCCCCCCCCCCCCCCCCCATCCCTAGTTGAATGATACATATCCTCACCTTAACCCAATCAAACACAAATAGCACCGCTTATTAGCACTGAGTGAAGCACTTACTTTCCTAAAAACAACACACAGTTTATATGTTTACTCTGTTGATTGGCATGAAGGAAGTAATTGAACCAACAACAGTTCAGTGATTGACACAAGTGGGTAGAACTTTTGACAACAGCAGTGATAACTCACCAGATGCCTATTGTGTAATTCCTATTCTTTGAATGACATTGTTATATACTTGTTACAGCTGCTGCTCAATAAACCGTGTTTGTGTTTATATTCAAGTTGGTATTCCTGCTATCCAAAGTGTGCAGTGTGAAGTTAATTAATGCGAGCAAAGACCACTCACATTTTTCACATTTAATTCAGCCTCACGTTAATTTCAAGAATTATAGTATTTCTCTATATTTGCTTTGGGTGATCTGTGTGCATACAAAACTGTGCAGTCACTATTTGTGGTGTGCATAAATGAATGATGATAACTTGCAATAAACAAGCAATACTTTCTTCATTCTCCATTCCTGAAATCTACTTTTAATCCTTTATCTGTTCTAAAATCTTAAAAAAGCAGACTGCATTGTAGTAGTAGTAGTAGTATGTTTGTTTGTTTGTTTGTTTGTTTGTTTGTTTGTTGTTTAACGCTGCACTCCGCAATAATTGAGTCTGGAGTACTGGAGAGTAGTGGTAATGGTAGTGGTATTATGATGTTGATGTTGATGATGATGATGATGATGATGATGATGATGATGTAAACATATTCTTTTAAATCCTCTACTTTCATCATTGTTCATTACTTTCACAGCCGCCCAGGAATTCCTGTCACTCACTGTATTATCTTGAAATATTCCTCCACAGCACTTGGCTCACACTTTGTCCAATCAGATTTGAAACCCATGATTAATGTATTAGGTCGAAGCTTGCCAACGCCAACAGTCTACAAAAAAGACCATACAGAGTGATTTATATAACATACATTGACTTTTATATGCATAAGAAAATCACACAATAATTGTATGAAACTCCTTCACCATCAGCAAACTTCTCTTGACAATTGCCTGTTCAGTAGGAAAGCGCCAGTTGTGTGAAATTGCTTTCAAGGCCTCAATTCTAGAGGACTGTTTTTTTAAAGTCACATAGCCAAATGCCCTAACAAAGCACACCAAATTGCCCATCAGGTCCTTTGACCTGCATCATGCTATATTCCTCAACCCAAGAATAATTCTTGACTCTCACATGCATTATAGACTGGGCACCGTGGCGGAACGATGGGGCAGTAGTGGCAGTGTAGAAGGCCTTGACTCTCCGCTTGCTCAGCCAGCTGTATGCAGCGTTGGTGTTAAGGAGCTTCTTCAGGTTACCGCTCTGCTGACCCTGAAAAACACAAAATGCATGCAGTGAATACTCATAGCATGTTCTTTGAGAAGAAGTGCATCCCCTTACTACAAAGTCACGATCTGACATGTTTTACAGGCAGCCAAATGGCTATTGCTGGATACTTCTGAAGGCAGCTACAACTGGCCATTTTCCAGAGAAATAACACTTTGGAAACTAAATAGAAAGTCACCACAGTTTACAAATAAACCCATCATAAAGTTTATGTTTGTCATGCTTCAGAATAATTAGTGACTATCAAACACTTAGTATTCAGTGATCATGGTGATATTATTGTATCTGTATAAAAGTTTGGGCATCTTAACAATCCTTCAAATGTCAGCAATACCATTTTCCCTTTATATGGAGCATCTTGGCAATGTTATTTGAGCTACCTAATGAACGAACACCAACATCAATTCAAACATTCAAGAGTGCATAAGCTCCACTCTGGGAACAACATAATTAGGGATGGATGGATAGACTGACAGACTGACAGAAAACGGAGATCACTATATCCCACACAACACATGATGGTTGGAGAAAAGGGTCCCGGTTCTGTCTTACCACAGTCTTGTCCCATGTTGTTGATAAGGGCAACTTCAACTGTTGGTGACATGGAGGTAAACATAAGGCCGGGATGTCATTGCCATGTGGCCCGTTCATGAAAAATGTACAGAGGAGGAAATCAAGATAATTGGGGTCTGGTTTTACTTACCACTATAACATTAGCACACACCATCAGACTAATTTTTTTGCTGATATGGGAAACAAAATCTATTAGGGCTGGTCGATTCTCTGGTAAACCGGACAAGACAAGCATCTGTGGTCTGGTGACAGGAAAATATATCATATAGTTAGATTTCATCAACGCTAGCTGTCTATGTTAGATTCAAGCTGTTTCTACATCACAGAAGAACAATATCAATATACCTATTTGCAGTTTAAGAGTCACGAGCTTCAAATTAATGGGCACATCTTGAAAAGTTCAATTAGGAGATATATTTTAATCATAACCTATTGCCACAAAATAAAATACATCAATTAAGGAAACTGAAAAGCCACAATCATAGCAGGTTACCTGAAGTTTTTGATATGGTCTTCAACTGATATGAGTTTAAGGGAAGACTGCAGAGCATTTCGGTACACATGTGCTTGTGTCGATGACCCCCAGTTCACCTCTGAAAGACAATACAATTTCAGTCAGTGTAACCAGTATGTCACAAGCATGTGGTGTGTCACTTACTGGAAGGTCAATTTGGTCTTTGAATACAGACTCTTTTTGTCTGAACAGCATATACATTTTCTTATTAAAATTGTATGGACTGAGAAATATTAGCTTGACCATCCTTCTCCCTGTACATCTGATTAACATGATTAAGAGCAAGGTTCACCAAAGTAATCAGAATATGGGTGCAGGAAACCAATAGCTGAAAGAAAGCATGTGCAATGCCCCACACTATCTACCAGGTCACACATTGTCACCATCTGGTCGTCACATTGGTCAGGTCTTAATACAAATGTAGAATACTGAGGTCCTATTTTACCCTCTTATCTTAACTCACTAATGCATTATCAAAGTTCAAAGTTCAAATTAATCAACTTAATTAATTTCTCAACAGGAGATCTCAAAGGTGGATTAACATATCTGTCAAGTACAGCATCACCATGCAGCTTTCCACTGTTTATCATATTACTTCCAGGCAATTACTAGGTCTATATGACAGAATATCAACTGCGCAATAGCAGTGTCAATACTATCTGGCTTAATCAAATAATGTGTGACATAGTGGTACATCTCTACATCTTCTGTGGTGTGACATAGTGGTACATCTCCTGTGGTGTGACACAGTGGTACATCTCCACATCTTCTGTGGTGTGACATAGTGGTACATCTCCTGTGGTGTGACATAGTGGTACATCTCCACATCTTCTGTGGTGTGACATAGTCGTACATCTCCTGTGGTGTGACATAGTGGTACATCTCCACATCTTCTGTGGTGTGACATAGTGGTACATCTCCTGTGGTGTGACATAGTGGTACATCTCCACATCTTCTGTGGTGTGACATAGTGGCATATTACTTGGCTTTTGGACTTGATACAGTAGAATAGAATCTGTTATGTGTGACATAGTTGTACATTGACTGTGGTGTGATACAGTGCCATATTACATGAGTTTGTGTGGTCCAATAGTATACTGGTACTATCTGGTGTCATATGTTACATACTGACTGTGGTGTGATACACTGGCACATTACATGGCTTTGTGTGATACAGTAGCATATGAACTGGCATAATGTGTGAAAATAATTCATAGACTGAGGTGTGATACAGGGGCTCATTGCCTGGCTTTGTGTGATACAGTAGCATATGAACTGGCATAATGTGTGAAAGTGATTTGTTGACTGAGGTGTGATACAGGGGCTCATTACCTGGCTTTGTGTGATACAGTAGCATATGAACTGGTATAATGTGTGAAAATAATTCATAGACTGAGGTGTGATACAGGGGCTCATTGCCTGGCTTTGTGTGATACAGTAGCATATGAACTGGCATAATGTGTGAAAGTGATTTGTTGACTGAGGTGTGATACAGGGGCTCATTGCCTGGCTTTGTGTGATACAGTAGCATATGAACTGGCATAATGTGTGAAAGTGATTTGTTGACTGAGGTGTGATACAGGGGCTCATTACCTGGCTTTGTGTGATACAGTAGCATATGAACTGGCATAATGTGTGAAAATAATTCATAGACTGAGGTGTGATACAGGGGCTCATTGCCTGGCTTTGTGTGATACAGTAGCATATGAACTGGCATAATGTGTGAAAGTGATTTGTTGACTGAGGTGTGATACAGGGGCTCATTGCCTGGCTTTGTGTGATACAGTAGCATATGAACTGGCATAATGTGTGAAAGTGATTTGTTGACTGAGGTGTGATACAGGGGCTCATTGCCTGGCTTTGTGTGATACAGTAGCATATGAACTGGCATAATGTGTGAAAGTGATTTGTTGACTGAGGTGTGATACAGGGGCTCATTGCCTGGCTTTGTGTGATACAGTAGCATATGAACTGGCATAATGTGTGAAAGTGATTTGTTGACTGAGGTGTGATACAGGGGCTCATTGCCTGGCTTTGTGTGATACAGTAGCATATGAACTGGCATAATGTGTGAAAGTGATTTGTTGACTGAGGTGTGATACAGGGGCTCATTACCTGGCTTTGTGTGATACAGTAGCATATGAACTGGCATAATGTGTGAAAGTGATTTGTTGACAGGTGTGATATAGGGGCTCATTGCCTGGCTTTGTGTGATACCGTAGCGTACTAACTGGCATAATGTGTGAAAAGAATTTATAGACTGAGGTGTGATACAGGGGCTCATTGCCTGGCTTTGTGTGATACAGTAGCATATGAACTGGCATTATGTGTGAAAGTGATTTGTTGACTGAGGCAGGATACAGGGGCTCATTGCCTGGCTTTGTGTGATACAGTAGCATATGAACTGGCATAATGTGTGAAAGTGATTTGTTGACTGAGGCAGGATACAGGGGCTCATTACCTGGCTTTGTGTGATACAGTAGCATATGAACTGGCATAATGTGTGAAAGTGATTTGTTGACTGAGGCAGGATACAGGGGCTCATTACCTGGCTTTGTGTGGTGTACATATATAAACAAGGCACTGATGACTCCAAATGTGATGAGTGCAGTCCACCAGTTGATGATGAACATGACTGCCAGGCAGATGATAGCTCCCAGCAAGCTGCACCACTTGTTGTAGAAACGGAATGCTGGGCGCCAACCTAAGATGCACAGACAAGATAAGTGATAATAGGGAGTGAATGAATGTTAACAAATGTTATATCTGGGATTACACTTTCTGAGTAAGGTACAGATTCTCGTACTTTTTTGGGTTGAGTCCAGCCCGGGATTCGAACCCACACTGCCAGAGTGAGGCATCTCTGGCAGCACACAAAGTCAGCGATCTAACCCACTCAGCCACCGAGAGGTCCACAAAGTACGCAATCTAGACCCCCAGTTGTCGGACTTTCATTTTTGTGGAAGCCTCGGTGGCTGAGTGGGTTAGATCGCTGACTTCGTGTGCTGGAGGTTAGTTGCCTCACTCTGGCAGTGTGGGTTCAAATCCCAGCCGGGACTCAATCCCCAAAACTACGAGAATGTGTACTTTACTCAGAAAGCCTTATCCCAGATATAACATTTGTTACATTTGACCACTTTCTAAAAGGCATTGTGTGTTCATGAATGAATGTTGTTTAACGCCACAGTTGGCAATATACCAGCAGCCAGTTTATCACAGTAGTCTGTAAATAAATGAGTCTGGACCAGATAAAGGAGGGACTGTATGCATAAGCAAAAATACATGTCATGATGACACACATAACGCCAAGGTGATCAAAGTTTAAAATATTAACACCATTATTCTGGGCATCATAACCTAAATCCCTTGTCTACCAATCTCTTCTGTTGATGAAATCAGCAACACTCACTTTTGAAGAGAGAAGAAGAGGGATACAGTTTGTAAATTTTCATTATTTAAAATATTATTAATAACTGAGCACCAAAACCACAATATGTCTCTTCTTTCCCCGCCAAAGATTAGCAATAAAACGAATGCTCATCCTTACCTGGTGAGCGGGCAAGTGAGGCATCGAAGCAGGAATAGTTGATCAGTGTGTAAGACATAAGAAAGAAATTGGATATCACAGGGGCTATGGCATTCAGGTCACCTGAAATAACAACATGAAGATGATTATTATTTTCTGGGAAATGATCAAAAGCCTTTTTGTCATAGTTGATTTGAAAATTACAAATTTAAAGAAGGTTGGCCTTACTACAAACTGACATAAATTGTTACTTTTGACACATTTCCAGGTATAATCAGCATGTGTCAAGCCTGATGTAGTTTGGACCTTATGGAACTTATCACAATATTAAAGTACTTACCAATAAAAACAAATCCTAAACCTATAAAATAAGCCAGCAGGTAGGCACGTCTTGGGCTATCATCAATCCCATAGCCTTTTGCAAAAAACTTTATTTTAGGGAAGATTTCATCTTTGCAAACAGCCTGAAAGACAAAATATTATTGTATGTACAACTTTACAGTCCCATCTAGTAAAATATACATATGGTAGTAAATCACAAGAGCTGCAAGGCAGCATAAACATTAGCATGAAGATTTGATGTTGGAAGAATTCCCTAATCATTGTATACATTCTTTTATGCAAATTATTAAAATAATGTAGAGAAGTGAACATTGTCGAACACTGCAGTCAGCAATATTTCAAACATATGACAGTGACCTGTAAATAATTGACCAGCTAAACAATAATGGGAATCAATACACAACAAAGCGTATAACATGCATGCAATATCGTCAAAAATATATGAGTCAACTTGTCCAAAACTTTCTCCTATTCAATAGATTTTACCCCTTACTACGAGGCTTTCATAGATTTCGTTTAGAAATGAATGTGTTTTGAACAAATGATCATCAGATCCTAGCAAAACTAAGGGATGCAACTTTATAGAGGGAATTTCAATGGCTTAGACCACAAGTGAAATATTCCCAGACCTGGATCCTGTTCCACAAGGCAATCTTTGCACTCCGACTATCGTAAGTCAATGTTAAAGTAGGGAGTATTAATGCTTAGATACCTTTGTGGAACAAGGCCCAGGACTGGTGGCTGAAGTCATGTTAAGCACAATATTGTGGAGAATCAGTACACTGACGCATTGTTTCATACATGGTTACATACAAAGAGATTTGTAATCATGGGTGGATTTCAAGTAGCTGGTGTGTTAAATCTGCACTGACATTTGGAACAGGGACATACCTGGAAGACTTTAGGGGCGGAAACAAGACTCGCTAATGCCGAGGAAAGTGTGGCCGAGAAGATTCCAGCTGTGATAAGTGGACCAAAGCCTGACATCATCTCCATGGCCTGCAATGTCAACTTTCACTTTGTACATGTACATGGATATTGTTAAATGCAAGAGTGTATACTCTAAATACAATATGACAGATGAAACAGATCATTTCTGCCATTTGTAGAGGCACTGTATATAAATGACGTACAGGAAAAGGCTTTAAAGCTTATTTTTACATTATTGCAATCTAAAATACCTCAGAATTTAAGAAAATAAGAACTTTTAAGATATCCAAAATTTGACCAAAATAATTATTTTGTCCCCAGTTTGCCTGCCCAGGGCATTTGGTTTAGAGTTCTATATAAATCCCTGCTGCATATGATGTTAAAGAAGAATACTGAATGGGTGATCAATATTCCCTAAATGAGATTCTGGTGTAAAATAAATCTTTCAAAACAAATGGTAAAACTAAATAGCAATAATTGATACTCAATTCCATCCAACTTCACGAATATTAGAAACTGTATAACAGCTTGCATTACTGACAAGTGATGAAATATAAATCACAACATAAACTCATCTTAATGAAATATCTGGTATCACATGATATGAACTTCATAAGCTTACAAACCTGATAATCATGCATCAGCCCATAAGCACATACGCCATTCTCGCCGAGAGAGCAGTTTCGTATCACATCCACCGTATACACAGTACTTGTTGACGTGTTTGGGGCTTGCTGTGCCGCTGACATTGCCGCCGACATCACCACCGACGCCAGCGTTGTAGTTGTGACGTTTGAAAGCTGTACAACAGTGGTTGCACCCACTGCCACGTTGAGGGGTCCGACAGCATCGCGCAGCATGCAGCCCCCCAGGGTCCAGGCCACGCCCAGATACACAATGGTGGAAATGAGGATGGACAGTAGGGTTCCTTTTGGGATTGCTGTCTGGGCATCCTTACAACATAAAGCAAGTCTGTCAGATGTGTTTCTACGCTAGTGGACTAAAATTGTTAGATTCTACCGCTGTGTCAGAAATTTACCACTTCGGTGAAACCACGAGCACGGGTATGGTGCTGACAAATCTAGAAACATAATCGGGGCGAACCGGGATTCGAACCCTTAATCATAGGTTTCTGGCGTGCCCAAGGGATGCAACTCTGCACAGCGAATCGCTGCGCCTTAGACAACTGGGCCACCCATGCCCCCTGACATACTTGAACATAGGCCTACGATAGTTGTAGTACTGAGATGATCCTAGTTCCCATACTTGAATATAGACTTACGATAGTTGTAGTACTGAGATGATCCTAGTTCCCATACTTGAATATAGACTTACGATAGTTGTAGTACTGAGATGATCCTAGTTCCCATACTTGAATATAGACTTACGATAGTTGTAGTACTGAGATGATCCTAGTTCCCATACTTGAACATAGGCTTACGATAGTTGTAGTACTGAGATGATCCTAGTTCCCATACTTGAATATAGACTTACGATAGTTGTAGTACTGAGATGATCCTAGTTCCCATACTTGAATATAGACTTATGATAGTCAGTGCTAAGATCACTTACATGCTATCACTACAATATGATTTATATGCATTACATTTGTAAACAAACAAACAAAAAATAAGTAATTTCCTCCAAATAACTTGTCATAAATCCTGTCAATATCCCAAAATATGGTTAGGTTTTGGTCAGTTTCAAAAGCTGTGGAAACCCTAATACGTCCTTACATACATGAAAGTATTTTTGTATTGTAGACAACAAAATGTTATTGTCTAAAACATGTACATATGTATCATAAATCACAACACTGTCATATGCTTCATAAGGGTAGAAGTTCCATACCACGGAATCAAACTTGTGATTTGTTTCATTCAAGAGCATTTCCCTGTTATGTCAAATCTCAAATGTATGTTATCTAGCTGAACTTATTCATAAATTAGTAATGTATTTTCAGCAGCTCCTAAATAGCATAAAAATTCCTGAAAATTATAAGCAGGAGCCGAATGTCCTGGATAGCAAAGTGTCTTCTACCAACCTTAAGATCCCCAGAGATGTTGGCTCCAGCCAAAATTCCAGTGGCCGCCGGGAAGAATACAGAAAACACTGAGAAAAACTCCTGCCCCTCCCCAAATGCAGGAAGCATGTTCTCAATAAAGAGATCAGCTGAAAATAAAAGCAGTAAAATTTCAATAGAAAAGTTTCAAAAATTATCTGCTAGCAATAAGATGTTGAGGAAACTGTCAAGAGCAGGCAACGTTTACATGTACACAGGAATAGGAACGGCCCTATTCAAATAATTCAGTGCTTGTTTCAGTTGTACTTCACTGACATTACTATACAGATATATGTTATAATTATTACTGGCATCAAGGATTTACATCCCTAGACATTCATTTTCAAATATACTGATGGAAACTAATAAGGACACAATGAAAAATACAGGGACATTTGCCTTAATGGCAGTACTTTATTACAATTAAGAGCGCCTCCTGCTTGTATATATACTTGCCAACCACACTCTGTATATCACTTGCTTGATAACGGCGTTAGAACCTACACCGAATCGTCGCTCTTAATTGTAATAAAGAAGTTGTTTATCCATGAATTCTTATCCTTACTTAGTACTCCAACTTCTAAATGCCTATCAAAGAAGTTAATGGCAGTATTTTGAAATAGTGCAGATACAAATTCAACAAGTCAGAATCACATGTTGATGTGTTTGTGTGCACTGTTTCCAATGCATATTTGGTGGACAAGGCTGGAGCCCATGATAGCATATCATTGAACTGTGTCTACCTATTGTTCCCTATAAGTGTTCCCTTTTCATTTCCATCAGTATATATTTGTTTAGTATTGTATTTAATGACAATCAGACCTGTAAAAAATGTTTGAAGAGAAATTGAGATGATTCAACCTACTTTTAAATCCCACAAATCCCTTGACTTTCTTGGTTTCTGTCGGAGGGATGAGACAACCAACAACAAAATTGACCAGCCCAATCACCAAGACAGCTAACAATACCAGCTGGGCCTAAAAAAAACAAAAATAATATATGAACAAAAATATCTGAATTGACTATAAGTAGCAAGTGTGCTCTGTTTTGCTCTGTAATCATCAATAGGGGGCACGGATGGCCCAGTCGTATAACGAGCCATGATTCGTTGTGCAGAGTTGTGTCCCTTGGGCATGCCAGAAACCTGTGATTGTGGGTTTGAATCCTGATTCACCCTAATTATGTTTCTAGGTTTGTCAGCACCATACCCATGCTCGTGGGTTTCACCAAAGTGGTAAATGTCTGAGACCTTCATTAGTTCGGGGTTTCCTCCCACATTAAGCTGACACGCCGCGATATAACTGGAACACTATTCATAGCGGTGTTAAGCCTAACTCACTCACTCACTCACTCACTCGCAATCAGCAATATTACAACTGTATTAGAGCAGCCTGTCTGGGATAAACAAACCAGTTGATGTTAGCATGAGCAACAACACAAGTTGATGATACATAATCAGTCATACATTTCAACAACCAATCCTCCAATCAGTTGGCCCTTATAAGAAGCAAGAGGTCTATGGGACTTGTTCTATCCAGGAATCCATGCAGGAACTACATTGTACAAGAGCAAACAGTTTATTCAACACAAACACACACAGAAATACTGTTTCTTGAGCAATAGAGAAAAGCTCTTTGGAGCAGCTTTTGAATAGTCAGTATGTGAATTGGGGTTTAATGCCTCCTCTACCAGTATTTCAGATAAAAGCCCCTAGGTGATACTTGACATGTTAACCACTTTGGTGAAACCATCAGACATTCTCTGCTGAAATACCAAGGCTCTGATCCTGGCACGTAGAGGACAAAATAATGGCAAAACTGGTTGCTGAATGTTAGACAAATGGGCTCACTTCAGGCTCATCTTCCAAATATCTGTTACAGGGGAAAGAGTCGTAGAACTTTTCTTTTGACCATGTTGACAATAAGATTGATGTTTATCCCATAAAACTGTTCTAATTCTAAACACAGATACAGTACTCCCAGTGGCTATATATGCCACTCCTTTCGTTTCAAACCTCATTGAACAACATCAAAACTACAAAGATAGGAGGATTGCTTGTTTGTTGTTTAATGCACTCAACAATATCCCAGTTATGTAACGGATGTCTGTAACTAATAAAGTCTGGATCAGAAAATTCAGTGATTGATATTATGAGCAATGATCCATGCCATCATGGCACATTGACGTACTATCAGTCCCCTGAAGATCCGGGTTAGAATTGTTGTTAGGATTGTCTGGTACAGACTCAATTATTTACAAACCATCATCATATAGCTGGAATAATGCTGAGTTTGGCATTTAACAACAAAGAAACAAAACATACTATCAACCATGTCCAGCCAATCCACTGAGTTCAGCATGGGTTGCCTGGGTTCGGCTCCCTATTTCCCTGCTTTAAACAATGAAAAAGTCATCCTTTTCTACTCACCCTAGCTTCCCAGTCCATACCAATAATAGCAATGGCTAGGAGCAGAGATATCGTGATGAACCCAATTATTCGGATATCATTGGTTTCATCTATCATCAAGGCATTATTGTTCTGAAAACAAAAAGTATCTTGAAAGGCATTTTATCATTCTCAATCCTGAAAATATTTGTCTTTTATTACCAATGATCACAGGTTTGATAAAAATAAAAGCAGAACTTTTGAAATCCTGTTTTAAATGTAATATCAAATCTAATATCAACCAATCAAAAAGTAAAAGAAATGTTAAAGAAATATGCACATGTAATATAATATGCATTAATCCAGGCAGTATTTCACTGTCTAAAATGTTCAATTAACAAAGTCTCTCACCTTTAATAAATCTCGAACAGTTTCTGCAAAGCCTACTACATACATTGCAATAGCTACAGCGTTGGCTACTGAAAAGATGAGGCCAATAGCACCACCAAACTCAGCTCCCAAACTACGGGATATCATATAATATGCACCACCTGAAAGAAAAGAAGTTTAAGTTTTATTTCTGGAGTAAATCTGTATGGATTAGAATATAACACAGAGTCAATTTGTTAAAAAAGAGAAATTCCAACTTGTCCCAAGGACATGTACCTTTACCAATGGTTACCATTGGGCACACTGAACTTCACCAATTGACGTTGTCTTATCCCCGAGTCAGCAATATTCCAGCTACCAATATATTACCTGCAAATATCAGTCTGGACTAGGAATACAAGTGACTGAAAGGAATTATCCACACCATCATGCGCATGAGTGAGTGAGTGAGTGAGTGAGTGAGTGAGTGAGTGAGTGAGTGAGTGAGTGAGTGAGTGAGTGAGTGAGTGAGGTTTAATGCTGACTTGTCAGCTTAATGTGGGAGAAAAGTCTGAAGTGATGCAGGTCTTAGAGTGAGTGAGTATTGTTTTACTCCGCTTTTAGCAATATTCCAGCAATATCACGGCGGGGTCACCAGAAATGGGCTTCACACATTGTACCGATGTCGGGAATCGAACCCGGGTCTTCGGCGTGACGAACGAACGCTTTAACCACTAGGCTACCCAACCCCCCGTGCAGGTCTTAGAAACCCAAGAGCACGGTTATATGGGGTGACTATTGGGGTAATTTCACTATTGCGATTGTACAGCAATAGTAGCTCTTACTATTCCAATAGTATTGCAATTGTTGTCAACTATTGCAATAGTATTTTGATAGTAGTAGAACAGCTTTAAGGCTTGATAATTATATTAATCAATGTAATCAAAATGAATAAAGTATTGCTAAAAATTTCAAAGATGGACTCGAACCCAATTTATAACTACAAGGTTCATACACATGATACAGATATGAAACATTAAACTTCATGGCTACCAAGTGTTATTTTCAAGGCTTTGTCAGTTGGGTTATTATCTTTAGTCTGACAATATTTCATAAAATGCAGCATACAATATATTAGTCGTTAAGCGGTATGTTTCACCAAACCAAAAAATATATAAGTCTGACATGAATTGTTCACAGTCTTTAGCACACAAATCTATCACTTGATAAATCTTATTTAATCATCTTCGGTAAATACTTTTGTGTTCTTTAAAACTTTGACAAGTATATGTCATTTTGCACAAATTCAAGGCTTTTTAAGTTATTTTGCTGATTTTCAAGGCCTTTCAATGTTGACACTTAAAATCAAGACTTTCCAATAGGGACCTTAAAATTCAAGGCTTTTTCAATCCTGTACAAACCCTGGACTAATTGCAACTATTGAAAGTATGGATTGTGTTATATGTGATAAGTTGCATGCGATGCATGGAGTTGGTATTGTATGTAAGGAGTTAGAGTAGTCACATGACCTAACATGGCGACGTATATGGATTTGTCGCGAGATATCATTCATTCTAGAGTAAGTATTCGAAACTTGGTAGGTTGATGACGTATGAGTGTAATAGTGGTTGAGGCGACAGTTGTACTATGGCGATGGTGTAGTAAAGACCGTTTTGACTGATATGAAGTGTTTGTTGAGTTTGAGTCAAATCTGGGTTGTCAACAAGTGAGCATAATGCCAGACGGAGATACAATAATTGTTAAGCATACAAAAGATTATACTATTGGCATTTTTAACTTCCTATCATATAGTACCATCTTAGGGAAAACAATTGCAATAGTTTTGATATATATCGTTACACTCCTGACAGGTAAGGTGCTGACAAACCTAGAAACTCATGGGCATGACCACGCACAATCCACCAAGTCACCAAACCCTCCCATTCAAATCAATAGGGTCTACTCTTATGACAAGCATAGGATACTCGGGGCCCATTCTACCCCAGGATTCCCCATGTGGTGTACCCGGTAATCCCATCTTGAATCTATTCACCCTCATCAAACTATCCTATCCAACCCATGCTTCAACTCAAATCACTGGATTGCTTTCCATCTTGTGACCCTAATTAACAATAGCCAGGTGGCTTCCCAGTGTCCTTGAGATTTTCTGCAACTGTATTTAAATCTAAGAATTCCCTTAATCTTCAACTTTAAACAATACGGTTATGACAAGAACCCCTTGAAGATGATGGCTAATATTGAAGACTCATAACTGATCTATCACTCGGCATTTGATAAATCTTAGGGCAAAAGGAAACAAAGAACGCTATCTCTCATTACAGAGTTCTGGCTGCTGTTTTTAACCTATACTTAACATTGCTAAAGGTTAGTGTGCTTGTGGCAGTACCTACACAAAAAACAAAATGAATAATCTTGAAATACTAGGCAGGATTTCTTAATACCTTCCAGCTATGTAAATAGGAATATACCTGTATTTCATCTTTCACATAGTGAAATCTGATAAGTGCTTATGACTTCAGGCAATGTGAACTATAACTTTAAGGTAGTAAAATGACTTGTTTTCCACCAGAACCTCGATATATATGAATCACTAGTCTGACATGAGCTGTCTGACACATGGTGTTGAAGCCTGTTATATCTTGCGGCAACTGTCAAGGGCGGGCATTTTTTATAATTTTTACATTTTCAAATGTCTGTCCCTGCAAACTATAGTAATGCAATGGGTTGAGAAGTACCTCCATATTTTTTCAACGTTGATTTCTGTGATTTATTCAACAAATTATTAATACATACCTTTAAATTTTAAAAGAGTGTATTGTGTCATTCTATGCAATCCTAAATATGTCCTTGACAGAATAATTATTATTCTACAACTCTGGGAACAATAAACAAAAATTAAAAAAGAATGAAAATGTATTAATACATGACTGACAAGTCACTCAGCTGACTGGGAACTAGTAGGATACCTCAGATTATTGCCAGGCATTTTCTGAAAAGATGTCCAACATCTCTTCAAGCAGAGTGTATTTTTATCTCAAATACATGCAATGCCAAGGCACCGTAGCTCACTTGCTATGAAATCAACATTTTAAAAAACAAAGACAGCCACAGATCAAAAGTTTATATTCCATTGAAATTCCAATAGTTCCTGTAGCGATACTAAAAACTAAAACCGAATAATTAGGCAAAATTTGATGTCATGAGGAGACATAAAAATGCCAAAGTTCAGCTCACTAAGTCTGTAAACTCTTTGGCAGAAGAAGCTTACATAGGCAAAAATGCAAATCTGGCTGCCATTGAAAATTGGACTCAAACAGTCACTTCCTGCTTTATTTGGGATAGCCTTGAAATGTATTCAAGCTTCATGAGCAATAATTTGGAGATTTATACTGTTGCACACATGCACATGCACCTTGTTCTTACTTCCAGATGTTCAGCGCCATGTTTTGTTTCTGATCGTAGTCACAGTTGACTTATTGAATGAATAAAGGTTATAATGCAAAATGATCGTGTTTAATAAGCATTTCTACCGTTTCAGTTGCTTTTACGAGCCTTACAAAGATCTACAAGCCTAGGGCTAGCAGGATAGCATAGCAGTCAGACCCTGCAATAAAAGGAACTGCTAGAACTCCTCCATTTCTCCCACAGCACAGTCACTTCAGTGTAATATTAATATGTTTCTGGTTGTGTTTACATATAGGCTGCAAAAAAGTCTTCATTTAAGATTTTTAGGTCTTCCTCATCATGATCATGACATAATCAACTGATCAAAAACAAAATGCTTGTTTCAATATCAACTTGCATTCCTGAAGTCAAAATCATTAAGGTCCTACTGCACTTTAACTGTTCCCAACGGTCATAAAATATCTCCACAATATTGCTTCAATAGCTCACACTTCCACAAAGCCACAATTCTATTGCCATATTCAAAAGATACAATACCCAGCATGCACACAAATGTCCAAGGTTAACCTTCTGAATACTTCTTTATGAAACAGAAATAACAAATTCCATAGATAGAAAAAAAAAGGAAACCTCATAGAATTATCATAATAAAGAGCACTGGAAAGTAGTTATAAAAATATTTAAGTCGTGTTTATTGGGGCCAAGAGATCAATAATTCAAATTCAAATTCAAAGTCAGACCTGAAGAAGAATGATCCGTATCATGGCTGGTAAACAGGCAACGACTTACTGTTCCCATCAAAATTTTGAAATTCTTAAAAAAGCTTGAACATCAAACTACAATTTCATCACAAGCAAGTTCATATATCAAAACCTTTCAATCTGGTCTTGTTAGACAATGTGATCCCTCATGATCGATGGGTCTCACTTAATCAATACAGCATTCAACAATGAAGCTGGATGATCACATAGCCCCTGCCTGTGGGCAAGTGAAAGTGCTCCCAACCGTTCCACTGAACACTTCAAAAGACCACAGCATATTATCTGTAGATATTAATAGTATCGTCTTTGTATTACACTTCTAAACACATCATTCATGAATGGTTGCCCGCTTTTGCAACAAAATGTATGTACGAAAATGACCTTTTCTTTTCATGATCTTATCATACACTAGCATAATGATTGTTCGAAACCTCCTTAAGCATTTGTAGCATAACAGCAATGTAAATATTTGATGGCTTAACAATGGGACACCACATACAGTTCCTAGCTCCAGTTAGGACGTCTACAATATGTCCCAATGGGACTGGTGATTTTCTATTCCATCTCAAGTTAGGACGTCTAAAATATGTCCCAATAGGACTGGTGATTTTCTGTTCCTAGCTCCAGTAAGGACGTCTACAATATGTCCCAATAGGACTGGTGATTTTCTGTTGCTAGCTCCAGTTAGGACATCTACAATATGTCCCAAAGGGTGATTTTCTGTTTCTGACTCCAGTTAGGATGTCTACAATATTTCCCAAAGGGTGATTTTCTGTTCCAAGCTCCAGTTAGGACATCTACAATATGTCCCAATGGGACTGGTAGTTTTCTGTTTCTAACTCCAGTTAGGACGTCTACAATATGTCCCAATGGGACTGGTGATTTTCTGTTCCTAGCTCCAGTTGGGACGTCTACAATATGTCCCAATGGGACTGGTGATTTTCTGTTTCTAGCTTCAGTTAAAGGTCAAGCATATTCAAAATTAAATTGGAAAA